ACTGGGAGTTGGAGAGCTGCCCCCGCCCGGCGCCCGGGTCACGGCGGGCCGCCGCGCCGCGGGGGGTCTCTGCGCTGCGCCTGAGCCCGACCCACCCCCGGCGCCCCGTCACCGCGGGCCCCCCACCCAACCCCGGCGCCCCGTCACGGCGGGCCGCGTCTCCGCGCCGGCGCCCCCCACCCACCGCGGGCCCCCCACCCAACCTCCGCGCCGCATCACCGCGGGCCGCGTCTCCGCGCCGGCGCCCCCCACCCACCGCGGGCGCCCCATCACCAAGGGCCGCGTCTCCGCGCCGGCGCCCCCCACCCACCGCCGGCGCCCCGTCCCGATGGGTAGCGTCTCCGCATCAGCGCTCCTCATAGCCCCGGCGCCCCGGCTCCGCGGGCCCCGGCTCCGCGCCGCGCCAGCGCCCCCTCCACAGCCCCAACGCCCCCCACCCACCCCCGGCCGACCCCTGAGTCCCGGCGCTCCCGTCTTCGCGTGCGCGTCTCCGCGCCGCGCAGGCGCCCCCTCCACCCCCGGTACCGCCAACCCCCACGCCCGGCAGCGCCCCCCCACCCCGGCGGGCCCCCGACCTCACGGCCCGGGGCGGGGGGCGAGGGCTCCAGAAAGGCCGGGGCGCGCACCAGACGACTCCGGACCCTGCCCCCGCCGCCCCGGCCACGCCGCGCCCTCACCTACCGGGGCCTGGGCCGCACTCCCGCCGCGTCCGGCCGAGAGCCGCGGGCCGGAGGCGAGGCGGCGCCGCTCCGCTCGGCGCATCCGGGGCCGCGAGCGGAGGAAGCGGCGGCGCGCCCGCTACGGCAGCCGGAAGTGACGTCGCGCGGCGGGAGGCGTCGAGACGGGCGGAGGGCTAGAGCGGCCGGGCGGGGCGGGCCGACGGGCCGGGCCGTGCGGGGGCGAGGCGGCGGCCGCGGAGGGCGGCGGGGCTGCGCGCTCCCGGGCCCGCGGACAGCGTCGGCCTGGAGAGCGCTGGCGCGGGGGACGCCGCCGGGGAAAGACGGGCCCCGGACGGGAGGAGACGTCTGCGGACCAGACCCCGGGCCACGGGCCGGCGGGAGGATGGATGAGGGACTTGGGGTCCGCACGGAGGTCTCCTGTCCCGGCCGGCCGCGCGGCCCGCGGGGGCGCGAACCCGCGACGCGGCCACCGCCTGCCGCACACGGCCCGGCTCGCGGCGGAGGGGCCCCGCTGTCCACCCGCCGGCTGAAGGGCGGCCCCAGGGCGCTGCGTGTGGACACCTTGAAGACGCGGCGCTCGGCGGGCGCGAGCGGACGCAGCAGGCCGCGCGCCGTGGGGTCCCACGGACGTAAAATGGGCAGACTAGGCAGAGCCCTAGAGGGGACGGTAGGTTAGCCGCGGCCCGGGGGCTGGGGGCGGGTGGGGACTGACTGGCTGCGTGCGGGACTGCCCTTGGGGCTGGGGAAGGTGCTGCGGAGTTAGGTAGCGCCGGTGGTTGCCCACCTTCGTGCATGTGCCAAAAACCAGGGAACTGTGCACTTTGAAAGGATGCGTTTATGGCATGTGAATTACGTCTCAACACAAAACTCATCTAAAAAAAATGAAGCGTAGGGACCCCTGGCCGGCTCAGTCCGGTGGGGTGTGGGACTCTTGATCTTGGGGCTGTGGGGTCGAGGCCCACAGTGGGTGTGAAGATTACTTTAAAAATAAAACTAGGGGCGCCTGGATGGCTCACTTGGTTACGCGACTGCCTTCGGCTCAGGTCGTGATCCTGGAGTCCCGGGATCGAGTCCCGCATCGGGCTCCCTGCTCAGCAGGGGGTGTGCTTCTCCCTCTGCCCTCTTCCCTCTCATGCTCTCTGTCTCTCATTCTCTCTCAAATAAATAAATAAATAAAATCTTTAAAAAAAAAAAAAGTATAAAGGGGAGGTGCCTGGGTAAGGTTCAGCCTGTGAAGTGTCTGCGTTTGGCTCAGGTCACGATCTCAGGGTTGAGATCCCGCATCGGGCTCCCTGCTCGGCGGGGGGTCTGCTTCTCCCTCTGACCCTCCTCCCTCTCATGCTCTCTGTCTCTCATTCTCTCTCTCAAATTAATAAATAAAATCTTTAAAAATAAAATTAAAAAATCTTAAAAATTAAAAAAAGAAAAATTAGAAGACTAATGCAATAAAGCACATCAGCAAAGTGCAGGTGCAAATGCCCTCTGATGTTAAACTGAAAATTTTAGAAAAACAAACCCTGGCTATAAAAAGGAGACAGGAGGGGCGCCTGGGTGGCTCAGTCGTTAAGCGTCTGCCTTCGGCTCAGGTCATGATCCCCGAGCCCCGCATCGGGCTCCCTGCTCAGCAGGAAGCCTGCTTCTCCCTCTCCCACTCCCCCTGCTTGTGTTCCCTCTCTCACTGTGTCCTCTGTCAAAAAATAAATAAAATAAATAAAAAGTAAAAAGGAGGCAGGAGTGGGCAGTTGCACTGAGCAGTTGTTCCAGAGCCATGGTCAAAAGAACATTCTCTGTCCAATTGAATCGCCTGGGTGGGGGCTGGCTCTGAACCCTCGTGCCACCCTCCTACTTGGTGAAGCCAGAAGTTAAAAACTCGATCTGCCAGAGTCCCAGCTGAGTGAGGCCCTTCTGTTCACTGCACTTGTGCAACACTGGCAGTGGAGGGAGGAGGCCACCTCCTTCCTGCTGCACTTGCTGCCCAAAAGCAGGGCTGACAAACGTCTCTCCTGCAAGGGAGGCCCAGTGCTGGGTGGCCGTCAACATGGAGCCATGGACACTCTGGTGGCTTCCTGACATGAGCCCCTCCCCCTGGGCCACAGCTCTGAGCAGCTTCTCAGCTGCTCCAGGTGTGTGGCCGTGGTGGGGGGGGGTCCTCTGGTCCCCCCAGCTCCAGAGGCAGCATGAGGAGCAGGTGCCTCAATGGGCCGGTTCTGTATTGTTCTGGGAAACATTCCAGGGGATCTGGTCCAGTCCAAAACCAGGTCCTTGAGCCCCCCCACCCCCAGCAATCTGTAAACCCCAAAATTGCTGAAGAAAACATCTGCCCAACCACACACAGAACCAGTGAGGTCTTCCCTCCCAGACACCTGCGTGGTCCCAAACACACAGATGAGAGCAGCTCACGAGATTTCCCGTCGCTTCCCAGGTGCTGACTCTCGTGCCCATCTTACATGCTGGCCAATATGGGGACCCGGCAGGCAGCTGGGCAGGGAAAGAAGGTGAGGGTTCTTGCTCTCCTGTGTCCTTGGGGTAACACTGCGTTCTGGCATGTGACCCCCTGACTATGCAGATCCCGGCCCTAACTTTCTGCGCCTTCCATGCCCAGGGAAGGATCATGCAACCCAGGAAAAGGCTGGCCCCAAGGTCAGGCTTGCTCCCCTGAGGTTCTGGAGAGAGTGAGGGGCAGGTACCGTCATGTGATGTCGGCAGGGCTCTATGGAGGGGAGGAGCCATCAAAGCCAAGTGGCCACTAGAAACCCATCAGACCACTGATTCTGCATCCACAGCTACTCACACACATGAACAAGGACGTACAGGGATGGTCCGGACAAAGGCCCGGCAGCACGCGGGGCAGCATGGATAGTGAGCCACCAGCAAGAACAATGCAGACTTTCACGGCCGCAAAGCCATGCTACGTTGGGACAAGCAAGAGTCAAGTGCGTTGTAAGCCACCATCTGTGTGAAGAGACGGATCAGATGAGCTCATCTATGCACAGAGCTCTCTGCGAGAGGCCCTAGAACCAGTGAGGGAAGGGCTTCTCTCTTCTGTACTGTTACTGCAAGCATATTCGTTACTTAAAAATGCTGCCCTCCCAGGGATCCTCCAAGGTGGCTACACAGGTCATCCATTCACTACCTGGAGTCACAGTTGGGAGTTATGTATTCTAGAGGTTTGACTGATGCTCAAACCAAGCTCTTGCAGCCTTTCATGGGAGAAGCGGTGGTCCCAGCAGTTATCTGGGCTGATTTTCTGCCCTTGGAAATGACTTAGCAAAGAGCCTTGGTTATCCCGGAGCCCATTACCACACCTAATGCCAATCTCCGCACCTCCTCCAGACTGCCTTTCCCCAGCGGCCCCATCTGCTAACGGCCCCAGGTCCTCAGTCCCTTAAACCTGAAGCCCAAGGCAGCCTTCTGTCCTCCCTCCTGTGCTCACCTCCATCCCCTTGGCAGCAGGAAGCCCAGCTGCTTTTCTGGCCCCACACACCTCACTCACCCTCTGCACACACAGCCCCCCCCTTCACCCCGGCCACCACCAGCATCCTCAGTGGTCTTCCTGATGATACTCACGCCATCCTGTCTGTCCGTCCGGAAGAAGCCCTGGAAGAGATCTGCCCGGTTCCGGGCACACATGGGTGTGCCCACGCATGCCCCCACACGCCACATGCGTGCACACAGCTGTGCATACAGGCACCGTGTACTCACAAGCACACGCGCGTACCCAGGGTATGGACGCCGTACGTCTCGTGCGTGCACGCATCATTAGGTATGTGCTCACATGCCCACGCATGAACACCAGCACGCACACACAGAACACACCACTTCCCCACGGGACACCGCCCGTGCCTTCTGCAGACATGCCCAGGGCCTGCCCGTCACCCAATCCCCCTTCCTCGCTGACAGGTCACTTCTGGGCTGTGCTACAGCGTTGGGTAAAAGGCATCTCCCAGCATCCCTTGCAGCTAGACCGGACCCCATGACATGCCCTGGACAATGAGGGGAAGAAGCTACTGGTGGGTCTTCTGTTGGGAGAGCTCGCCGAGGGCCACGTCTGTCCTCTCGTCTGTCCCCCTCCTCCCACCTGGGACGTGGGCAAGGCTGGGGTGGATGTGACCAGGAGCAAGGGCTACGCAGCCAAGCCACCAAGCCCGGTCCTGAGGGCCTGACGGCCAGTCCCGTAGGAGCCTCTTGCGCCCACCTGCTCTGGCCTCCGCCCACCAACGCCCCTCTGTCCCTAACAGCACGCAGCACTCCCTCCCTCCCTCCCCTCTCTGGAGGCTACAAGCATAGCAAAGACCAAGTAAAGGTAAAAAACGGCGTGACTTTAGCAAAGTTTGTACTCATTTAGTAAGAAACCTTTAAAAAAATAGTGTCTTTACATGCTGAGGTGTACACGGTTAATGCGTGAGCTGAGAACGGATTCGCAGCAGGTCCTCCCTGTGAGGAAACCCAACGTGACGCGGGTCTCAAGACCCTGAGGTTGCGTGGCGGCAGTGCGGCTCCCCCATGTCGGGAGGTCGGCCTGCGGCGGCGGCGAAAGCTCCCGGCACACGTTGAGCCTGCCTGAAGGCGCTCCAGCGGGTGGCCACCACCTCAGTCACTGTCTCCTGGGGGGCCAGGCACCTGCAGAACAAGAGCAAAGTGTGGGTGCTTCCCCCCTGGGGGGCTGTCCGCGAGGGGCTGGGATCGGGGCCACCCCCCCCCCGGCCCGGCCAGTCATCAGGCACACGGGCAAGCACTTGGTCTCAGCCCGACTCCTGGCCCCCACACCAACAGCTCCAGAACCTGACCTGCTCAGGGAAAGCCAAGGCTGGGGACAAGGGGGTCATCACGGGGCTCTGTCAGATCCCCTCAGGGGACACAAAACGGGGCTACTCCCAGCGGGACGAGTGCAGGCCCTCCCTCAGGTGTGAAGACAGCAGGAGGCGGGAGCCTGTCCCAGCGGGAGTCCAGCAGAGGGCACGTCTGGCCCCCAGCTCCAATCTGCACACACACTCCACCCGGCCTCACAGTGCCTGGGAGAACTCGGCACCATCAACACTCACAGACTAGAAGATTCCACATAAAATCCCGGAATGCCTGTGTCTCCTGGGAAAGCTTCAGCTCTCCCGGCGTGGCCCTCCCCTCGACGTGGCCGTGAGACGGGGCAGGAGTGCTCGCGCCTGCCGGGGTCCGATCCCCATCACCTCCCTGACGCCACGGCCCCTCGTCGTCGCACCTGCACACCTGCTCTTCCACACCTGGCCCACCTGGCCAGCTTACCCTACCTGCGTGGGTGGGTTTACAACCCCAAGTGTGCGGGAAGGAGCATGCTTTTCTGGGTGCGAAGGCGACGGGAAGCGCTCTCCCAGCGCTCCAGGTGGGATTGCGCCCGTGGAGAGCTGCTGGGCCAGCAGAGAACCCAGGCTCAGGGACGTCTCCCACCCCAGGGAAAGACTCCAGCTGCAGACTACGGTTAGCTCCAGGGCCTCACACACGTGCCCTCCTCCTAACACGCTCCCCTGGCAGGGACGAGCCGCCGGGAGCCATGGCCCTAGCAGGAGGGCACATCAGACAGCAACCACCTGGAGCGGGCGCCAAGCACGCCACGTGCCTCTCAAGGGACCCCATGTTCCAGAGCAGGTGTGACAACAGACACACGCTGAGGACCTCACAGTGTTCGTCCTCACACCTCTGTCCCACGGTCGGGAAGGCAGGCCCCCGAGCGCAGCCTCTGTCCGAGGTCACTAGGCACAGAGTGGGGAGCAAACACAAAGCAGCACTGTGGGGTCGCCAGCCACCCGTTCCAACGCCCTGGCCCTGCTCATCCGTGCTGTGTGACCCCAAGAGCCTGACGCACCTCTCTGCGCCTCAGCTTGCTCGTCTGCACAATGGACACAAGGACACCAGTGTAGGGCAGGTGAGAAGCTTGGCCGAGAGCCTGAAAGGGAGCCCCGGCCTCCAGCCCCACGGCCCCAGCGCCCACCTTGGTGCCTGGGCCGGCGGCCGCGTGGGCACTGGCGTTGAAGTCATGCACGGGCAGGGTGCTCAGCCACTGGGCCATGGACCGCTCGTGGCGCTCGGTGCTGATGATGGTGGGGTAGATGTGCTGCTCCTTGAACGCCGTGACCCCCGCCTCCTCCCGCGTCCAGTCCAGCGGCTCGTGCAGCCCGTCGTTGCCGAAGCGCTGGTTGTACTTCTCGAAGTGCACGCGCTCCAGGACCAGGCCAAGCCCCGGCGCCTTGGGCACGTCCACCTTCGCCTCCCCCCAGCTGCGCTCCAGCACGCTCTCGGGGGCGTAGCCCTTGACGATGGCCACCACCAGGCCGACCATCTTCCTGATCTGGTGCGTCATGAAGCTCTGCCCCTTCACCTTGATCACCGCGAACTCCATGCCCTCCCGCACGAAAGGCTCCTCACAGAACATGTCCAGGATGTAGCGCCGAGCGCTGGCCTCGCGGGGCCCCTTCTGCGAGGTGAAGTTGTGGAAGCTGTGCGTGCCCTTGTAGCAGGCGAGGAGCCCGTTGACGCGCCGCAGCGTCTCCACGCTCAGCCGGTAGCTCTCGTCCTGCACGTCGTGGTCCTTGTGGGCGAAGGCAAACGTGGGCAGCATGTAGAAGTACGTCCTGGCGTCACACTTGTTCTTGGAGTTGAAGCCGCCCGTGACCCTCTTCAGCCCTTGGGGGGAGAGGAGGCAAGTGAGGACAACGCTTCCCTGCCCACGAGCACCTGCACCAGACGCGGGCCCGGCCTCCATGCACCGAGCCCGCACGCGCCTGACGCTCAACGGCAGAGTTACGCAAACCAACTCATCAGAAACACCGGCGGCTTATTAAAACCTGGGGTTCACGGAGGGGCAGGGAAGCGTATGCTCAGGCCCTGCACAGCTCTCCACGGAATCCACTGCGGACCCAAAAGCATGCCCTATGGGTTGTCCTACGCGAGGCCACCAGGCAGCAGCAGGGCTAAGAACAACAACTACTACAGACAACTTAGAAGTCCAGCGAGAGAAACACGATCACACACGTTCCAGATCGTCGGCAGGACGAAGCAGCAGGCAGCCCCCGAATGCCAGAGGCCCTGCACCCTGAGAGCGGACAGACCCAGCAGGTGCTCAGCAAACACACTAACCAGGAAGTGAAAGAATAAAGACAGGGCGCCTGGGTGGCTCAGTTGGTTAAGCGACTGCCTTAGGCTCAGGTCATGATCCTGGAGTCCCGGGATCGAGTCCCGCATCGGGCTCCCTGCTCGGCGGGGAGTCTGCTTCTCCCTCTGACCCTCCCCCCTCTCATGTTCTCTCTCATTCTCTCTGTCTCAAATAAATAAATAAAATCTTTAAAAAAAAAAGAAAGAATAAAGACAGAACGAAGCACGCAGGGCTCTACTCGTGCGTGAGAAGCACAGAAGTGTACGTGTGCATAGAGAATCTCCCCGACGACACACAGCTACGGGCGAGGACCCGGAACCAGGGGTGCTGCCAGAGCTGCACCAGGGCCCCACGGGCAGCTGCAGCCGGCCCCGCCCCAGGGCTCCTGCCCTCCTTGCTCTCACTCTGCTGTCGTGTTTCATCTGGGGGTAATTTCAGGTTTTCCTTGTCGCCTGGCATTGAAAATTCACTTTTGTCTGCGCCGAGCATCGCCAGGATGCGTCGTGCAGGTGGCCGTCTGCCGGGATCAGCACCCGGGCTGCCTGATGGCCGCGCTCTGGGGCCGCAACGAGGGAAACCACCCCGCATGCCAGGTTGCATGACGAGCGCCGACGCCGCAGTAACTGTACAGGATTCGGTGTTGTTTTAGCAAAACTGGGGCCCGATCTGTGGACTACATGGAAGACCTTCTGGTGCAAACACATCAAGGGGCCTTCAGGGGAGTTTACTCAAAGAGGAGTGTCCCGGGAGGGGACCCTCCCTGCAGGCAGAGAAAGACCCCAGCAGAGCAAACAAAAGCCACGTCACGTGCGAACACAGATGTCCAGTAGCAGACAAAGTAATTAGGAAGCGTTACCGACTTCACGGTAACAATCTCCGTTTACTTGCGCCAGATGCCCACGGCAGCTTTGTCCGTGGCGATGCAGAAGCCCAGTGCCCTCGGGGGCACATGAAGAAACCGCGAGCAGCAGGCCCGCGTGACGGGGTCCACACAACACCAGCTCCGTGAAAGCAGCCAGACGTGTGACCTGATTCTGTTCAGTAAAGCGCTAAGAGCGTGAACTAACCTACGGCGACAGACGCAGATCAGTGGTGGCCCGTGAGGAGGGGGTGGGGCGGAGGGGCTCACGGTCCTACCCGGGATGGTTCCCCAGGCGTGGGTGCACATACGTGCGCACGTCAAAGCTGTGCGCTTAAATACGGGCTTCATTATACATCAGTTACATCTCAAAAGATTTTTTCAATTGGCTGCTTAAAGGAAACAACGCAGCGTGGTTGGTACCACACGTGGTCGTACAATAGGCCCCCATCAGCTGCAAGGCCGGGGGGATGGAGGCGGGACGCTGCCGTCGTCTTCGAATGCTACAAAACGCGAGGTAAGAAAGACGTTCTAACAGAGACGGCCACCAAGGCCACCAAAGAGCCCGTCTGCAAAGACGGGGTGGCAGGGCACAGTTAAAGTCAAGGGGCGCGTGGGGCCGAGATCAAGGTCAGCTAGCCACACGGCCTGGCCTGCTACAGAGGGTCTGCCAATTCCTGCTTTAACCCCCCCAAGCAACCACTAAAAAAACCACAGCCTGTTACACCTACAAGGCAACCGAGGTGATAATCAAATGGAAGTATGAAAAACGTTCATTAATCCAAAAGAATAAACAGAAGAAAAGAAGAGCACAGAAGAGACAAAAAGCAACAGACGGCGATGTCTACGCCAACCAACCAACCCGAGAACACAGGAAACAACCGGCCCGTGCACGCCACTCAAAAGAAGAGAGTCAGATGGAATCGTTTTAACAAAGACTTAAAAATCCTGTTTGTCAGGCTTGTTATAAAAGGGAATCCTCACCCGTTTTCAGCTTTACCGAATCGGGACTTTTGCGTCCAGTGTTTGGTTCAAACAAGGCGCTGCCATGAAGGGAGCTCCCAAGCGTGTGTCCAGCTCATGCCTTCCGGAGGAGGGGACAGCGACCTCTGAGCTGACTCACCACCTCTCCTACCAACCGCTCAGCAACCGCCCCGGCGTCCTGATTCCACACCAGACAAATCTGGTGAGGCTTCACATCCCTGCGAGACCAGCCACCACGCGGCACGTGGCCCTGCCCTGCTGCGCTTACCCAGTATCCGAATGTGAGGCGGAAGGTGGCTGTTGATCTTCTCTAAAATGTCGTCAATCAGCCACACCTTCAGGGACACGACCTGGCCGGCCGCAGACACACCCTGCAAAGGAAGCAGAAGGGTCAGGCACACCCTCCGAAAGATGGTCTCCTGGACCAAGGACCAGCCACCGCTGCACCGTTTCCTGTACAAGTTCTGGCTTTAGAAACGCATTTGAGGGGCTGGTGAGACCCGAGGATGGCACTCAGTCCGCCAAAGAGCCAGGCGAGCACAACCGGGGAAGGATCACCGATGGCCTCGGGGCCCTGCGAAACACACGTCATGCAGGTAGGAAACGAAGGCCCCCTCGGCCCGGACTCCGCACGATGTGGGGAAAAGAGCAAGCGATTCCTTAGGAGAATGGGAGGCCGGGCAAGGAAGAGCGGTCGCCCCACCTCGCCCACGGTGTCGCTGCCCCTGCTCCAGCTGCCCGCTCACCCGCGCCCCTGACGCTCCACCTCGCGCTCCAGCACAAGCCCACACCATCCACATCCCCCATCTCGTCTCCCCTCGTCGTGCGGACAACGGGTGCAGCCCAGGGGCCTTCTGAGAGCCCACGCTCGCCCAACTTCCAGGCCAGCGCCCAGCTGTAATCATCCTGATTTGCCCCGAGCGACCACTGCCCATCTCTCCCGGGCCGCGTTTACGAGCTCACCGTATCACAGCGCTTCGGCACCAGCGACAGGCCAGGCATCCACCAGGGGTCCTGGAACGCGTCCCCCACAAACCGGGGGGGGACCACTGTGCCATCTAAGTCAGGACAGCAGTTAGCCTGTGGAACAGGGACGGGGGGACGGCGTGGACAGCGAAGGGGAGCTGGTTACACAGGCAACTCCCAGCGGGGTGAGCACGCTTCCCCACCCTGACGCCAGGCCTTTGTCTAAAAGCCAGCTGTGTGGACGGTCAGCATGACAGGACCGTGTGGGGACAAGGAAGTGGACAGGATGGCTCCTGGGGGGCAGGGTGCCGTCCTGGGCGCAGACGCGCAGACGTGCGGCTCAGCACCACCCACATCACCGCACACGCATCATCGGAAGACGCTCCACAAACCCGTGCCAAGAAATGGACTGAACCACACCTAACATCCCTGCCCAAAACTTTATCCAAATCCAGTCATGACAACAATCGGACAAATCTTGACTGAGAACATTTGTCAAAACTACTGGCCTCGGGGGGCGCCTGGGTGGCTCAGTTGGTTGAGCGACTGCCTTCGGCTTGGGTCATGATCCTGGAGTCCCGGGATCGAGTCCCGCGTCGGGCTCCCTGCTCGGCACGGAGTCTGCTTCTCCCTCTGACCCTCCTCCCTCTCATGCTCTCTGTCTCTCATTCTCTCTCTCGCAAATAAATAAAATCTTAAAAAAAAAGATATCATATAAAAAAAAAACAAAAAACAAAAACTACTGGCCTCGGGTGCCTGGGTGGCTCAGTCGTTAAGCGTCTGCCTTCAGCTCAGGTCGTGATCCCAGGGTCCTGGGATCGAGCCCCGCGTCGGGCTCCCTGCTCGGTGGGAAGCCTGCTTCTCCTTCTCCTCCCCCCTTGTGCTCTATCTGTCGCTCTCTCTCACATAAAAAAAATCTAAAAAACAAAAACAAAAACAAAAAACTACTGGCCTCACCTGTCCAAAAACATCATGGAAAAACCAAAAAAAAAAAAAAAAAAAAAGCGACAAGGAGACCATCTTAGATCAAAGGGAGCGCCAAGGACGGGAGCAAGCACGCAGGCCGACCGCGGCTCAGGTGCTGGGTCAGTAACAGACCGAGGCTTGTGGTAGCCGCACCCCGGCAGCGCTGGACCGCCCGAGGGGAACTCCCAGGGGCGCTGCCATCCCTGCACGTTCAGGCCTGCGGCTTCCGGAGTGAATGAGGTCCGCAACGGACTCTCAAACGGTTTAAGGGGAAGAAAGGGCGTAAAGAGGAAACAAATGTGGCAAAACGGTATCACTGCTGAATCGAGGGGAGGGCTGGTCCGGCGTCCACTGCGATACTCCCCACACATCTGCAGGACTGACATTTTTCCCAGTAAAAAACTGGGGAGATGGGGATGCCTGGCTGGCTCAGTTGGTGAAGCGTGCAACTCTTGATTTCAGGGTTGTGGGTTCAAGCCCCATGCTGGGTGTGGAGATTACTTTAAAAAGCAAAATTAAAAAAAAAAAAAAAAAAGGAACGGAGATGAATAACACCGCTGTTTTTGTATCAATCATGTGTGTAAATGAAAACATTCTGGGGCGGGAGAGATGGCTAAGGGGCCTGGGGTCCTTGCTGGAGAGATGAAAGTGTCCCCAGACCAGCTGCAGGGACGGCCGCACAACTCTGCGAACATACTAGAATCCCCTGACTCACACACACTGGGCAGGCAAACTGCAAGGAGTAAACTGTATCTCAATAAAGCTGCTTTTATGGGGCACCTGGGTGGCTCAGTCGGTTAAGCGACTGCCTTCGGCTCAGGTCATGATCCTGGAGTCCCTGGATCGAGTCCCGCATCGGGCTCCCTGCTCGGCGGGGAGTCTGCTTCTCCCTCTGACCCTCCCCCCTCTCATGTGCTCTCTCTCTCTCTCATCTTGTCTCAAATAAATAAATAAAATCTTTAAAAAAAAATAAAAAATAAAGCTGCTTTTTAAAGAATCTAATAAAAACTAAGAAAATGCTATCATTTCCTCATCCACAGGGCTGGATGCACAAGTGGAGAGATGAGCTGGGATGTTAGTGTCGGAAGTGTCGGGTTTCTTCAGGTTCCCCAAACCGTAAGAGGGAAAAACATCTGAACAGAACAATCTCCAACAACACTGGGTTAAGCACCTCGCTCTGAAACGCTCTCTCCGTTAGTTATCTGCTTGCCTTCTGCCTTGAAAACTAGCAGAAAACTGTCACTAGGCCAATTAAAAAAAAAAGGAAACTGTAGGAACCACAGGACTCGCGCCTGAGCCGTGGGAAACGTTACCGCGTCACCTACGAGACGCAAACCCACAGTCCCGCGTCTGTTCTCCGCTATCTGTACGACGCACCAGTTCTGTGGTCCCCACCTGGCGCGTGAACCCAGGGGATCTGCTACCTGTGGACCTGGGCGTTGTTTGGCTGCTCAGGACGCTGACCAGCCCGTGTCTGTGTCACATCCCCAGGGACCTCAGGTGGCCACAGAAGCATCCCAGGGTCAGGGCTGCAGAGCGGGGGCAAAAGGCATGCAGTGCACTCTGCATTTCATACCTACCGGAGAAGAGCTTGAGGTCTGTGCCTCTGCCCTACCCGCCTGCCCAGCTCCCCTCCACTCTCCTTGGGGAGCTGCTGCCCATGCCAGACCGACACCCAGGAACACGACAGGGCAAGACTGAGCCCAGGACACACGTGTGAGGCAGTGAGTAAGTGTGCTGAGACCCAATCTTGGGACCGAGTGGACAGCACGGGGCCACAGCCACTGGGGCTCCCTGGTCCACGAGCCGCGGCCAGTGTGGTGGTGACGCACCATGAGTGTGGAGTACGTAGCGGACTGCCAAGCCGGGACACGCACACACGTGCACGCGCACACACAACGGGACCTGTGTTCCCATTACACTGTGACGAAAGACTGTTCTCAAACTAAGCTGAAACAGATGACTCACACCCGGGTCACCTCTTTCCTTTCCCCTCTTGGAAAACGGGACATTCAATCCTCTGTGTACTGGCAAGCTTGAGCTGCGTGGATATCGTGACCACCGTGCGGCCACCTACAGGGGCCACGCAGGAGAATGCACGGACACGAAGTCTGGCCCGCAGCGAGCACCCAGGTCCAGCCACACCTGGACTGGAAATGCTTGAGAACTTCCTGGTGACACGAGGTGACGGCTTTCTTCCCATTTTGGCTAGTTCGGTCTGTGCATCTGTCATTCACAGCCAAGAGTCTTGACGAATAAAGACGCTGACGTGTGGTGTGAAGGACGTACAGATCAGGAGCTTCAGGTGCCGCTCGAACCTGCTGGGGGGGGGGGGGGGGGCAGAGATGGCGCCTACCTTATCTGTCCGGGCGCACCGCTGGAAGGACATCTTCTTCATATCTTCGCCGTGATTTTCAGGAATACAACCCGACTGGACCAGGGCAGACACCAAGTCATCTTCGATGGTCTTGAATTGTGAGGACCCAACATTCCTCTGAAGGAACAGATAGAAAACCAGTTTTCTTCACTTAGTCGCTGCCCACAGATGGGAACCCTGGGCCTGAGCTGCTCCCCGCAGGGTGCCTGGGTCCTGGGCCCACATCTGCGGCCCTGGGAATACACCGTGGCTCTTCCCCGTCCCGTGGCAACTGGGATGGTCACCTGAGAGTACCCAGTCTCTAGAAACAGCCCACCCTGGGCAGCCAGGTCAAACAGCCCACAGAGAGCATCACCCAACAGTTTCCTCCCACCTGGTCAGGTCTGAAACCAGCGCCCCTCTGGCCAGAGACCCATCTGTCGGCAGCAGCGGGCTGCAGAGGGACACCCCCCTTATCACACGGGGAGGCAGACCCCTTGACTCAAAGCAGGAAACCCACCCCAGGATGCCAGAGCTGGATTTGGTATCCCTTCAGCTCATGAGACCAGCCTGTACGACACCCACTGCTTCTAGAGCGTCCTAACGCTATCCTCTCAGGGTGCCCTAAGCACAACCCAGGGCCTGCAGGACCCCGCACATCAATGAGGTCACGGACCCCCTCCGGCGCTTCTCAGAGAAAACCCCCCCCACACCAGGGACACGAGGGCGGATGAGCATCTGCCAAGATCACCCCAGGGGAAGGTCTTCCCAAGGTCTACCCTACGGTCCCCACTGCAAGCATCAGGTCATAAATAAATGCTGCTCAAACACCCCCACGCAGGGGCAGGGCTGCAGCAGCGGGGAAGGCGGCCGAGTGCCAGGCTCCCAATGCGTCCTCCCATCAGCACGGTGAGCCCGTCACTCTCCAACCCCCCACTTCCCTAACGGGGAAACTGAGGCACACAGAAGCTGTCGAGACACAGCAAAGTTCTCCAGGCGGCGCCTAAAGCAAAAACGCACCTCCTCAAAATCAGTCACAAAAGCCTTCCGTCGCCCACGCAGAGCAACAGGGCTGGTCCGTCCCTTCCTGAGGAGTCGGTCCACCCCACACCGCGACATCAGTTTCCCCCGTGTGACCTACTCTCTTCCCTAAAAGGAGACCCGAAGACCCCCAGTTCTCCCGCGGCTCCCGGTGAGAACTGCTGCAGCCCCCGGTGAGCGCCCTGGCCAGGCGCTCCGGCTCGGCACCCAACTCCGTCCTCTGAGACGAGCTTCGTTCAGCAGGCTCACAGGACACAGCGCCCGCGACGCGGAGCCCGCAGGGGCCCCGAGTACGTGCGCCCGGCTCTCCGGAGTTCCCATTCTACCCCCCAGCCCGAGCTCCAGCGCAGGGCAGACGCGGGCGGCGGGCCCTCCCCGCCCCTCGGCCTCCGGGAGGGAGAGCACAGGGAGCCCGTCCCGGGTGCTGCGGCCCCAGGCTGGCCAGCGGCGCGGGGCTCCGGCGCCGCACACACCGGGGCCAGAGCAGGGCTCGGGGCAGCCGGGGCTCCAGCGCAACCCCTGCCCCGGCGGACGCACCGCGCCGCGGAACTCCGGGTGAAGAGCGCGGCCCCGTGTCCGGAGCGGCCCAGCCGGGCAGCTGCCGCCCGGAGAAGGCAGCGGCGGGAGCGGGCGCCCCAGCCGGGCAGCTGCCGCCCGGAGGCCCCGCCTGCAGCCGGCCGGAGAAGGCAGCGGCGGGCCCTCACCTGCATGCCGTGGTAGCCCTTCCCGGAGTAGGCCACGAGCAGCACGATCTTGCGCTTGGGCAGCTTCCTGTGCGGCTCCCCGTCCGGGCTGCTCCTGGGCTTCTTGGCCCGCTGCTCGGCGTCCTCCCAGCCCCGGGCCCCGCCCGGCCAGCCGCTCCGGGCCTGGCGGCGCTGCTCCCGCGCCGCGCCCACGGGGGCGGGCGTCTGCGCGTTCCCGGCCATGGGGGGCGAGCTGCAAGGACACGGCCCGAGTGAGCGCCGCGCTGGCGCGCGCGGCCTGCACGGCGGGGGCCCGGGCGCCGCGCCGCGTTGCCGGGACAGACGCCGTCCCGGGCGCGGGCCCCACGCTCCCCCGCAGGCCCTCCGCAGGGCCCCGGCCGCCGCCCGCAGGCCGGAGGCCGCCATGCGCGGCGGGGAGGCACGGCCCGGCCCCCGCCCCCGGGCGCCCTCGCGGCCGGCGGCCGACCTCCGCAGCGGCCCCTGCCCCTCCGCGCCCTCCCGCCCCGCCCGGCTCCCCCTCGGGCGTCCGGGAGGTTCCGGCCACGCTCGCCGGAACTGGAGGGGCGCGCTCCCACCCGGCCCCACTCACGGCGCCACGGACTGAGCCGCAGCCGGACCACGTGGGCGAAGGCGGAAGTGGGACGCGCGCCCGACGGCGGCCGGGCGAGGACAGAAGCCCCGCGGGGCGGGGCTTGGGGCCTGGGGCGGGGCTTGGGGCCTGGGGCGGGGCGCGGGGCTTGGGGCCTGGGGCGGGGCTTGGAGCCTGGGGCGGGGCTTGGAGCCTGGGGCGGGGCTTGGAGCCTGGGGCGGGGCGCGGGGCGGGGCGCGGGGCGGGGCGCGGCTCCCGGGAGCGAGCAGGTGCGCGCCGGTGCTCCGCACGCCGAGCGCCGCGGGCCCGGCCTTACCGGGGCGAGCACGCCAGCGCCTCCCCAGACTCCGCGTCTCCCACATCCGTGGTGGCCAGGCGTCTGCTCACGCGACACTCTTGGACGGCGCGGTCCTCGGGAAAACCTCGCGGGAGGGCTTGGGAGGCGGCAGGAAGCGCAAAGACAAAACTATGCCTCGGAAGCTCCCGTTCTCGTGCGGGGACGCCCGGGGACCAACCAAGCAGAAGAACAGATAGGGCATCACAAAGTACTGAACGCCACGTACAGAGGGAACCGAAGTACTGGTGCGCCCACGATGTGAGTCTTCCCGCAGTGGAAGAAACCAGACGCAAAGGGCCAGGAGTGTAGGGTCTCATTCATACGCAACATCCACGACAGGCAGGCCCAGACACAGAAAGTGGGTTGGTGTTGCTGACAAGGGTCTCCGCACACCACACCACACTCCTCTGAGCTCAAAAGTGAGGATGGGTTGAGGAGATCATGCAGGTGGGAGGGGACAGCTCACCTGTGCTGAACGACCCCCAGGACAGCCCTCCCCTCTGCAGAAGGGTAGAGCACAGCCCCCATGTGCCAGGGCTGACAAAAGGGCATGGTCACGGGTGACCTGGGGAGCTCTGGGGGCTCAGCAGCTTTAGGAAGCATTGAGCCATCTCCACAGAGAGCACCAATCTTCACACAGGGCACCACCACCCTCTTCCGGGAGATTCCCTCTGTGGGGAATTCTCCCTCCGGGCCCTAGCAGCTCTGAGGGCATGGGCCCCACCCTGGTACAAGGAAATGGACATGGGACCCCAGGCTGTGCCACGTGCAGCCCCTTGCTGGGGAGCCCCCAGCCAGGCCACATCAGGCAGAAAGGATGGAGGCACGTGTCCCTGCAGGAGCCTGCCCCAGGATCCTGGTAGGAGTGAAACGGGCAGGAAGGTAAGCACTGTGCTAGGTTAAAACTGCTCCACTGTCAGGGGATAGAGGCTCCCTGTGACCTGTCGTGTGGGGAGCAGACCACCACTCCTGCTCCCTCCTCAGACCCCGCCAGCTACAGTGGCCAGCCTAAGCCTGGTCCTCCTGGCCAAGGGCCCCTGTAGGCCTGGGCACCTGTGAACATGCCTGGAATGTGCTGGGGAATCGGAGGTCCTCGGACAGAAAGGCAGGAGCCAGCCCTTCCTGCAGTTGCCACACCCCAGGCCCAGCCCTCCTGGGCCCACCGCTTACCACCAAGTTCCTGCACAGGTACCTTTCTAGCAGTTTCAGCCGTAATTGCCCAAATCTGGAAGCACCAAGGCGTCCTTCAGTTGGTGACTGGATAAATAAAGTGACCCATCCCATCCAAATAATACAGTATTATTCAAAGCCAGAAGGAAATGAGCTACGCCAAGACACGGAAAACCTCAGATGTGTCTTACGTGAAAGAAGCCAGTCTGAAAAGGCTACACACTGATTCCAACTCTAGGACATTCTAGAAAAGTCAAAATTATGGAGGCAATAAAAAGACCAGTGTTTGCCAGGGGTTGGGGGAGCAAAGGAATGGGCAGAACAGATGATTGGGGACAGTGATCTACTCCGTGTGACACCATGATGGTGGACACGTAACATCATACAGGTGTCCAGCCCAAAGAATGGACAGCAGCAACTACGGACCAGGCTGATGGCATGTGTCCATGTAGGCTCATGTCCCCCACCAACGCAAGGTGTTCAGAGAGACGGAGGGAGGGCAGGGGAAAGGAGGATATGGAACTCTGAAGCCTATTAATTTAGCAACAAAATGCCATGATTGTCCTAATCCTCAGGGCATTTCTTCCAGTTACTGATAGACCAGGAGCCCCACTGAGTGGAAGGGGCTCCGCCTCCCAGCCCCATTCCCCACCAGCACAGCCCTTCCTGTCTGCAGACGCCACCTGCACACCGCAGGAAGCCAGGCATGGGCCTGACCCCCCGGGCCCCGCCTTCCCAGGCCCCACACTCCACTGCCTCTAAGGCTACCTCCCGCACGCTTCCATGTAATACTGCGGTTAGCCTTTCTGGTAAGGAAATAACTCGCAGAAACAGTATGTAGTTTTAAAAATGCAAATCCTACAACTCAACCGACCTAGAAATGGCCAGTAAGCACGAGAGGATGCTGGAGATCATGCATCAAACCCCAGAGCAGCCAGAATCCAGACAGAACCACGCGTCAGGGAGGATGTGGAGGAAGCAGGCCCTCCTGCACCCCAGATGGGGTGGACGTGGAGCTGGTTCCCCTCTCAACCCACACCCTCCTCCCAGGTGTACCCCCGGGACTGAGACTGCGACCCTGGTGGCGGGGGTGGACGCAGCCGTGAATGCACGTTGGAGCACCCAGTGTGCCCTGGGTGGGCGGTCTGGGGGGCACACGCAGGCCGCTGCACGTCCCCGGACGCAGTGCGTGACGTTAGAGATGCTGACAAACCCGCGTCAGCTACGCCTGCTCAATTCCAAAGGTTTATTTCCTTCAATGGTATTACACGATGTAATGCAAATGGGGGGGGGGGGAATCACACAAAACTCCTGTAAAGTAGACCAAGGGTCGGGTGCGGATTCGTGGAGGACAAGACCAGCTGGCAGCACACACGCTGGAGGCAGGCACGTGGTGGCCCGCTGCACGAGCCCCCTCCCGTGGCACCAGCCTCCCGGTGGCCTGGGTCCCAGCCGACCGTAAAGCAATAAATATGCACAGGTTCCGTGCAGCAAGGAACCAAGTCACTGGCGGACGAGGCAACGACTCACAGGGCTGCTACGAAATCCAAGCACAGGGGCAATATTTCAAGTATTGCAAAGAAAGAAACACAAAGATGCCCACGTCTTGATGTTAAGACCTTAAACCCCTCGCCCAGGGCGCCTGGACTCAGGCGGGCTTCCTCTGCCCTCTCCCCACCAGTCTCCCCCCAGAGCAGCCAGGACCCAGCCTGCGGTGGGGGGGGGGGGGGGGGGGAGGGGGGAACACACGACTTTGACTTTGGCATCAAACCCACCGTGAAGGCTGGATAGGAGGCTCTGCAGGAACCGCCCCCTTGCCCACCCACTGCCTCCAGGTGGGAAGGGGGGCGGGGGGGGAGGGCTGCCCTCACAGGCACCCCTGCCTCCACCCACATCCACATAACGCTGAGCACCCACCTGGCCCTGCCCCACCCTTCCTAAACAAACATCCTAAACTCCTACAAATTTTCTTCTTTTGTTAAAAAAAAAGCTGCAGAAAAATAAGACACGTTTCAGGAGTAAAGTGTAATAGACTTCAACGTCTGTTCTGGGTTCAGAAAGCTTGGTGCTTCGTACTGTCCGTCCCTAAAAGAACATTTAAATAAGATGTCTGTGTCTCCCCGGGGGATCCCAGGCAGCAGGCCCCACGCACACGCGAGCCTGTCAGTTCATATACGTGCGTCTGTATGTAGGTATGCACACGCGCCTCCTAGTGCGGCAGGGGACTGCGCCTGCATAAAGTGCTCCGTGATTCACAAAGCTGGGTGGGTGGTCTCGGGGAAGGAGGGGGGCCAGGAGGCCACACCGTTTCCTGGGCAGAGCGGCTCTCGGGGCCTCTTCCTGTCCTCAGCACGGCGGCCGGCATCAGGGCTGCCCCGGGGTCTGGCTGGGGTTGGGGGCCGGCCACAGGTGCCCACCCGCCTTCAAGGAGGCCAGGAGCTCAGCCCATCGGTGAGGCAGGGCGACCGGCCGGATTCGGGTTGTGTGGAGCCCTCCCAGCGCCCCGAAGCTCAGGCCTGCAGCTCGGGAGCCCCGCTCCCTCCCTGACACCAGCAAGCAGCACCAAGGCTACAGGCCTGTCCCTTCGAGCCTGGCCAGCTGGCCACCCCCAGCCTGGGGGATCGGCAGAGGAGATCCAGCCCCCTGGGCACAGTGAGCCAGGCACCCCACAGCTCAGGCACAGATGCCGGTCAGCAACGCCGAGAGCCTCCGCTCAATGCACAGCTTGCCTGCAACGAGAACGGCACTGTGAGCAGGACCCTGCCACCCGCCTCTCCCTTGAGCCGTCCCCTGGCTGGCCCGGCGGCACTCACACTTGGCAATGTTCTCCACGTCCGCCTGGTCAGTGAGGATGTGTTGCAAGCCCTCCATCAGCAGCAGAGCCTTGTGGTAGCGCTGGACACAGTCCTCCCGGCGGTGGAACATCTCGTCCAAGGCGGCCGACTGCACCTGCTCGAGGGAGGCCAGGGGCTGAGGCCAGCTGCCCCGAAGCCCACACCAGGCACAGGGGGCCGGGGGGCCGGGGGGCCGGCCGTCGCGGCACACACATCGGGGGTGTGGCACGCGGGAACACTGCCGCGGGCCTCAACAGGGACTCATGCGGCCTTGGGCAGCCAGCTGGCCGACACTGCCCCAGGGGGACCAGCAGCCCCGGGCAGACAACGGTCACCGCTGGGCAGGAGGAGACAAGCTCTCCCCCAGACCTTTGTGCAGACTGCACATTTATGCTACACAAATGAACGTTCTCAAAAACAGCCACCACCGGGCGCCTGGGTGGCTCAGTTGGTTAAACAACTGCCTTCGGCTCAGGTCATGGTCCTGGAGTCCCGGGATCGAGTCCCGCATCGGGCTCCCTGCTCCACGGGGAATCTGCTTCTCCCTCTGACCCTCCCCCCTCTCATGCTCTCTCTCTCTCTCATTCTCTCTCTCTCAAATAAATAAAATCTTTAAAAAAAAAAAAAAAACAGCCACCACCTCAGAGCCAACGCTTCTTAGGCACAAAGTCCCCAAAGACATGGAAGCGGAAAGCCGGGGCCCCCTGCGGCCTCGCCGCCCGCGAGCTGCATGCTTCCGGAGGGGCCGCCTGCGCCGGCCTCTCCTGGAGAACACTCACCCACTACAAGGCTTGAGAACCAGGCCTCCTGCCTGGACCCAGCAGCCAGACAGGCGTCCAGCACCGGGCTGGGCCTGTGGAGGCCGGGGGTCAGCGCTGACCGCCGGGCAGCATGAAATCACACCCCCGCCCGCAGTCCAGCAAGCCGTGGACGTCAACGGCCCCCCACGGCCCCCACCACCGCCGTGCCACACGCCACGCGGGCCTACCGTCTGCACCGCGTGGCTGAAGATGAGCTTCTCGGCAGTGACACTCTGGATGCGGTCCAGGAGCCGCTGCTTGTCCAGGAAGAAGCGCTGCAGCCGCAGGCTCAGGCCTTGGCAGGACACCACGCTCGCCTTATACAGCTCGTTCAACTTCCGCACCACTGCGGGCAGGGGCCGGGGACGAGGGCAGCCTCCATCAGCGCAGGACCCCCGCCCCCCGGGGCCACCGGCCACCCTCACGTCGCCGGGAGCTGGGTCGGCCCTGCTCCAGGCGACCCCCAGGAAGGGCCTTCCTCGGCCCCCTCCCACCCCTGCCTGTCCACGCTCTCCAGCCTCCGTCGCTGCCCCTGGGGGCGCGGCACTCACCCTGCTTCACGGTGGACGACAGACACAGCTTGCCGGCCCGGATTTGGTCGATGGCGGTCTGCAGGCCCGAGGAGAGCAGCTCGGCCACCTTCAGGTAGAGCACCAGCTGCTCCGCGAAGCTGGAGGGCGGCGGACGCGTGAGGCGACGCCAAGGCCCCGGGCCCCAGGCCGCCTCCCCCCCGGCCCCGCAGGGCCCGCGCACCCCCACTCCCGGCTCAGCAGGCTGATCTGGTCAGCCACCACGCTCTCCTGCAGCTGGTACTCGGGCCCCCCGGCCGCGTCGCTGGCGCTGCCCCTCAGGGCCGCGATCTCCAGGACGTGCTGGACGAAGACGAGCGTGAAGCGCAGGCTATGCAGGATCTCCGTGTGCTCTTGCTGCAGAGAAACGGGCTGCTGAGGCGGCGGCCGTGGCCCCCCGCCCTCCCCGCCCCAGGACCTGCCGCCCACAGCCGGGGGCCCTCACCTCCATCAGTGTCTCCTCAGGGAGGTCAGGGGCCTCGAAGGTCACAGCCCCCTCTAGGTTGGCGGTGACGGGGTCGGCGAAGCTGCAGCAGTGTCCGGGGGCCGGGACCTCCGGGGCGGCCTCACTACAGGCCCCGGGGGCCAGGTGACGGGCAGAGGGGGAGTTGACCGAGCCAAGAGAGCTCGAGGAGCCCACTGCAGGCAGAGGCCGGGGGCAGCGATTCAGGACGCAAACCCCTTCCCGCCAGGTCTGGATGCCTCGGTCTACACTCCTCCCCTGCCACCCACCGCGGACGCCCTGCCCCCCCGCTGGGGGCCCTCCGGTCCAGAGGCGGGAGCCGTGGGCGCATCCGAGCCCTGAGCCTGGGACCCCGACCCGACGAGGACAGCCTGCCCGGGGCGGCTGCAGACACGGTTGCTGTGAGCACTACCCACGCCCCACGTGTAAGAACGAGGCCACCTCACGCCCCTGACCTGTCCGGGCCCCTCTGCAGCGCCGTTTACACCCTGCGGCCTGGAGGAGCACCGTGCAGTCCTCACCTGACAACATCCTGGCACGGGGACCCTGGGGCGGCGTGGTCCCGCTGGGGGGTGAGCCCACGGTGAACACCACGGGAGACGGGCTGCTGGCCCCCCCAGAGCGGGCTCCCGGGTGCAGGTTCCCTCCGAGGCCAGCAGAGGGCGCTGCAAGAGCGGGACGAGCGGCTCAGGGCCCGGTGGTTGGCGCCCGCCCCCCGCCCCGCCGGGAGCCCGCCGGCCCACCGATCTCCATAGGCTTCTCCTGCAGGCTGTCCGTGCTCCCCGAGTCAGGGGCCTGGGTCCCAAACGCAGCCTTGAGGAGCAGATCAGTGAGGCGGCCGGTACTGAGGGACCTGCAGGGTGAGGAGCCGTGAGGAGCCGGCCCGGGGCCCCCGCCCCGCATCGCCCAGCCCGCCTGCCCCATCTCACCAAACGCCAGGCACACACAGGGCCTCACATCGGCTGGCCGTCTCCTGCCCACCCTGGCCGCAGGTAGTGTTCCCCGTTATCACACAGGCCAAGTGCGCCCAGATAGGGTCACACAGGGAGGAGGCGCAGACGGGGCCCCTACCCACACGCAGGTCTACTCCCGGCTTCTCCTCCCAGACAGCGAGCCAGCAAGCGTGTCGGGAGAGCCCCTTCCCACGCACCTGCCGAAGGGGCTCTTGTCCTCAGTGGGCCGCAGGCCGGGGCCCAGCTGCTGCCCCTGGAAGGGTCCTGCCTCGGAGAGGTCCGGCAGCGTCCGGTTCCGGGGGGGTGTCATGACCACACCCTGCCGGGCCAGGAGGGTCAGCAAGTTCTGGGAGCTGGGGGTCTTGGGGAAGTCGAAGGCAGGCATGGCCTAGGAGGAGCAGGTGGGGTGCTCAGACAGACCACCATGAGGGCGCTAGCAGCCCAATGCTGGCACCTCTGCGGCCCCACGCTTCCATCACCCGGTCTCTGCAGCGAAGGCACGAGGCCTTGTTGGCTGCAGGAAAGCAATACAGGCCCCGCACATGCCAACCCCCAGGCACACGGGCGCCCTCGGAAACGCCGCCTGTGTCGCTAACGGGCCCGGCCCCGCTTCACCAGCAAGGACGCCACAGCAAGGACTGAGCTAAGTGTCTTGCCCGGAGCGGTGCTGGAGCCTGTGGGGCACCTTCTGCGTTTCCGGGGCCCGAAGCGTGTCGCACGGGAATCCTGCCAGGAGGGTGGCCGACAGCCTGGGCAGGTGGATGGGAAGGGGTCCTCGGCACAGAGCCACACTCTGAGGGCTTTTCCCAGGACCGGTCACTTCCTCCCTGCCCCCCCCCCCAGCTCTGTGGCCCCGTTACCTTGGTGGGGGAGCCCAGGATGGGGGGCAGGGGGTTGCGCTGCAGGAAGTCAGGCAGCTTGGGCGAGCCTCGCAGGGGCCGGCAGGACTGCAGCCCGTGGGCTGGCTGCGGGGGGCTGGACTGAGGGTGGCCGAACGCCGCCCCCAGGGGGTCCGTGGGGGGCTTGGGCAACTTAGGGCGGACGACGTGCAGGTCGGACAGGTTGGGAGCACTGTGCAGGCGATAGCCCAGCCCAGCGGCGTGCGGGGAGTGCTCGGGCGCAGAGGAGCCTGGAGCAGGACAGGACAAGGCCTGGTCACTACCTCGTGGGGCCTGCCCAGCCCAGCCGCCACCAGCAGCAAGAGGAGCGTGTGTGTGAGGCCCTCGAGTCTGGGCTCCTCCCCCCACCCCGGCTGCTCGGCGGTGCGCCTGAGCAAACGGGCGCAGGTCATACCGCACGGCGGATGCAGACACTGAGGCCCAAGTGCCGCTCCACAGCCCAAGGCCTGAGCTTGTCAACAGTGCCCCAGGACCCGACCCTCCCTTCCCCATACGAGTGACCGTCGTGAGCAGGAAGCTGGCCCCTGCCCCTGGCCCATGCCCACACCTACCCGCACGAGGGGATCTGCCACCCCGCATCTCGGCTCCTTGGGGGGAGGGTGCCCCGCTCCAGCCCTGCCGTTCAGGGAGGATTCCAACTTGAGGAGAGAGGAGTCACCAGGGTCACGCCCCGACAGAGCCAAGTCCCCTCCCCTGCCAGCCCAGCCCGGGGAGATGCCCAGTCCCTCGTCAGAAGCTCCCACCAAGGGCCTTCAGGTTCACCTTGTGGAGACGGTGTGTAGGGCCGGCCCCCACCCAGGGAGAGCTTCCTGGCCAGGGCAGCTCCGTGCTCGGCGTGGGATGGGGGTGACGGACTGGCCCGGGCAAAGCCCAGGGGGCTGGTGCTGCCCGACCTGCAGATGGCGGAGGACCTGGGGACAGGAGCAGGCACGAGGAGATGAGGGTCACGGCCACGCCAGACGGCTCGTCCCTATCCGTTCAAATAACGGGTCTCACTCAGGAGCCTCCAGGAAGATTGGACCACTCACCCTCCTGCCTAGAGTGATAACTAAGAAGTGAAGACCCCAGTGTTCCCCCTGGGCATCCTCTGGCCTGAGGTCACAACCACTAGCCCACAGGATCTTCTGTAAATTACGAAAAGAAAAGGGAGGCTTCTCCTCCTGCTATGTTTGTTGAAACTCATCAAAAATCAACACTGGGTTTTGTAAATTCATGATACTTTACTAACATCTACCAGATAGTTGTCCTAATAAACCTAAGACCTCCGCACATCCGTGAGCAGGGGCGGTGAGACTTACACAGTGCACAGCCTGCACAACTGTGCATGTGGGACAACCCTGTACCACTCCAAGGAGGCTGCAGGGGCTTCTCACTACAGCTCTCCAGGGCATGCCCTTTGGCCCCAGGGGACCCCTACATTCACGGGGGGACCAGAGGTGAGGGGGACCATGCTGACCGTGTGGTCTGGCACTGGGTGGGCGACTGCAGGTTCTGCTCAATGCGCTGGTAGTTGCGCACCTGCGTGGGGACCGGGATGGGGACGGACACGCCGCACCTGCTGCTGGAGGGGCCGGCCCGGCTGCGGTGGGAGGAGAGGCGGGGGGGTCAATGGAAACAGAGCACTGAGCGGAGGCCCAGCCCCAGACACAGTGCAGGACACACCCCCGAGGCCACCTGCTTCCTCAGCTCTGCACAGGCCACCGCCACCATGTAGGCAGCCGGGACTGTCCACGCCCGCCCCACGCACCCCGGGCCACAGGGACGTGTGGTAGAAGGCCAGGCTGGGGCTGCTCCCCCGCTCGGCTCCGGGGACCCGAGCCCACCCGGCCCCGCAGCTCCCCCCCACCCCACCCCCAGGTCTACATCCCTCCCGCCACAGCCCCCCCCTCCTGGGCCACCCACGAGAAGCCCAGTGTCCTGCAAGGCCTGAACCAGGACAGGACCTGCGGACACAGTACCGCCTGCAAAGCCCAACCTGGGGCTCAGAGCCCTGACCCTAGCTTGGGGCCCTGCACGGCCCTGTCCCACCCCAGCCCCTGCTCACCCTGAGGGGCTGGGAGAACTGCTGCAGGGTGGGGAAGGAGATGGGGTCCGGCCACGGCTCTCCAGGCCAGCGGAGGCCACCAGTGAGCTCCTGGCAGGGACAGATAACATAGACAAGGCAAAGGGACAACCGGCAAGGACCAGCATTTCCCTCTCCCCAAACCAGGAGCGGGCAGGGCAGGGGGCTCACCCGCTACACATCAGACTGTCCGGGGGGGGCTTGGCACCAGCCGCCTCGGCCACCAGGTCACCTGTGGACGAGAGATGAGTGAGGCTCGGCCTGGGTACCTGTCACATCAGGACAAGCGTCCACTCCACGCTCCTAGGCCACCTCACCCACCATGGCTCCCTGATGGCCCCACACTCAATTCCAGACAGTGGGGGGAGGCTCCAGGCAAGGAGGGGAGAAGGCAGCGCTCCCAAGTCCCCACCTCTGTCCCCCAACCTGACCGGACCTCAGGGCTCTGAAGGAGACCCTGAGTGAGCTCTCCATACCCCAGCCTTCAGCCACCTCCAGGCCGGGCGCCCAGGGCTCCCAGTCTGGGCCTGACCTCTGCTCTGGGACCCTGGGTCCCACACCTGCCCCATCAACCTCTCTCACGGCCCTGTCTCCCGCTCACTGCCCTCCTGCCCCTGCCCTGGGGGTCCAGGGCCACTCCAACTCAGCCCTGAGTCCCAGGAGTCATGGGATGGCCACAGGCAGCAAAAGGAACTATCAAAGCCCAGGGTCACGAGAGAAACTTTAGAGCCCAGGACGGAGTTTTGGGTGGTGCTGGGCCTGTCCCTGAGGCCTGAGAAGCAGTGCTCAACAAATACAAAGCTGGCAGCAACGCCCTCCCTGGGAGCAGACGCTCCAGAGGGTGCAGAGGGCAGGCCCGAGCACAGGGACTCAGTCCACAGACCAGCCACAGATAACTGGGACGATGTGGCTTTGACTCCACAGGCAAGCTGACCTGGCATGGGAGCTGCCAGAACCACCCTGAGGGCACACAGGCGGAGAATTTCGCGAGCACGCGCACACACACACACACACAGAGCTCACAGCCAAAGCAACCCCTAACCCCCGACCTGGAAACTGGGCCGGGACCATGACGAAGTCATCCGTGTCGCAGGACGAGTCCTTACTGCTGCCGCCGGAGCCCCGGGAGCCCTGCAGGAAGCCGGCGGCGTCGGCCGGGGAAGTCAGCGTCTTCTGGAGCTGCTGCTGCATCTCTCCCAGGGACTGGGGGTCAGAGGGGAGGCCACTGAGACTCGGCCCCGGGGTCGGGGGAAACGGGGCTGCTGGGTGCTGACCAAGGGCTCAGCGTGCCCTCCTCCCCATCAGGTTCTGCGTGGCCTGCCGCCCGCCAGGCCCGGGCTGGGCCCCACAGCGAGTCACCAGATGCAGCCACCCAGCTCCCACCGGGCTCCATCAGTCCCGCGAAGGCCTGAAAGGGGGGCCGCTCTGCGCTCAGGACATAGGGCATCCAACGTCTGCCCTCGGCGTGGGCAACGGCGGTCCTCCCTACCACGGGCCCTGGCACCCCAGCTCTGTGTGCACCCCCAGCAGGCCTCGCCCAACCCCTGCCGAGGGGCTGGGGACACGAGCTGGGGGGCGGGCTCCCGGACGCAGGGCCACCCCGCTGCCCTGCCCACACGTGCACAGCACACACAGACCCGCGCCAGGCAGGTCGGCCTCCGGGATGCGAGCGCTGGCGTGGGGGGCCACGAGAGCTTTTGCCAACTCGTCAGGCTCCAACGTTTCCCACCCCAGCCCCTGCTCACCCTGAGGGTCTGGACGTGTCTGTCCGCAGCTGGTGGGGCGGCCAAGAGCAGGAGAGCACCCACCTTCCTGGGGTTGACAGCAAGGGACAGCCCTCCGCATGACTTGCACGCAGCGCCAAGCCCCGGGGGGAGCAGCCCGGGGCCCGGCCCGGCGGAGACTCACCGGAGGGGAGGCCAAGTGCGAGGTAGAGCTGCTGCTGGAGCTGCTGCCGGACCCCGAACTTGGGTACGAGGGCACAGGCACGGGGGGGGCTGGAGGGGGCACAAGTCAGCGCGCGGGAGGCCCCCACCCCCAGCCGGGCCAGCCCAGCAGCAGCAGGGGCGGCCCCTCACCCCCCGTGGGCCCCACCGTGGCCGCGGGGCCCCAGGAGCCCCAGGGGACTCACACTTCTTCACGGTGGCGCTGGCATCGAGGAAAGGGTGCCGGAAGAACTCGTCTGCGGGAGGGAGGACAGCAGAGGCCTGAGCAGAGCCCTGACCCCAGGGCTCCCTGGGGCAAAGATGCTGTCCCGCCCCCCCAACTGCCGCTGGGGCCTGAGCCCCAGCAGGCCTCGGCGCCCGCCCCGGCCGGCACCGCACCAGGCGTGCAGGGAGACGGCCCCAGCTGGGAGCTCCTCTCCTCCCCTGGCTGGGCCCCCCCGCCTCATGGGTTTTCCCAGCGGCGGCACTTCCCATTGCAAAACCGGGGTTTCCACAGCCTGGGCTGCTGGGAAAGCGCTGTGGGCACCCGGGAGCTGAGAGCAGGGGGCATGCAGCCAGGATGCGGCACGCCAACCCAGTGGGCCGTCAGGAGTGGACACACGCTGTGGGCCACGACATCGGGCTACACGCTGTGGGCCACGGTGTGACCGGGGGGCCGCTCACCAAAGTCCATGCGGTCCTTGTGGTTCCGCTGCAGCAGGGCCAGCAGCAGCTGTCTCAGCGGGGCCGACGTCTCCCTGGGGATGCTGGGCGGGGCCAGAGACAACATGACCCGCCGCCCGCCCGCCCACCCAGGGTCAGCGAGGGGCGGGGGCGGGCAGGACCCGGGCACTTACGTGGGTACCAGTGTCTTGTTCCTCTCATAGAAGAGGCGAAGGTCCTGGGGGCTGCTGGCCTGGTGGGGGACGGCAGCGTGAGCGCCCCTCAGAGCCTCCAAGCCCTGTACGAGGCCCCCCAGCCACGCCGGCAGGCCAGAGCCCTCGGCCAAGCACCACAGGCCCTCCAGGCTCCCAGGGATGCCCCCTGCCCCCGTCCAGGCTGTAAACCACAGGCACCACAAAAGGGCAGCCAGTCGGGCCAGAAGCCAGGCGGCCAGGCCTCCCTGCCCCCCAGGGCACACCAGTCAGGGTGATCTTGGGTGTCCGGTGTGACTGGATGTTTGCTTCTTGAAATAAAACAAGAGTCCATGCACCTCCCCCAGCAGAGGACCGCAGCATGAGCTCTCCCCTCGCAGCGGGCACCGCATGCCCTGGGGAGCACCTGGTGGGCACGCGTGTGGTCAGCCATCTGCGCTCACCGCACACCGCCACATTCCAGGCACCGTTCCCGGCACCAGCGAAGAGCCAAGAGCAAGAGAGCGCCCCACCTTCCCGGGGTTGACAGTGAGGGACAGCCCTCCGCATGCTCATGCAGGGAGGAAACGGCAGACAGGGAGGGGGGCAGGGAGCTAGGGGCCAGCCAAGAAGCCGAGGAGCCAGCTGGCAACAGCTGAGCGCTGCGTGGTCAAGCCAGGAAGTCCCGACGGGGTGTGCAGCCCAGCACGGAAGGCTCAGAGCCCCCAGCCCTCCGGAATCCCACTGCTGAGCAGGCCGCTGCTTTTCACAGGTGGTGCTCCCCGGGGCCTGACACCCACTCAGTGCCTCACGCCGGCAGGGCACGGCAGGAGGGAGGGCACAAGGCTGGGTTCAGACATGCACGTGGGCACACACGGATGCGCTCCGGAGCTCGCCGACTCCAGCCTGGCCTGCGGCAGGACGGGGCCCCACGTGACCGCGTGGTGGGGAGCCACGAGACCACCTGCCTCTCGTGAGCGAAGGCCGCGGGCCTGCAGTGCTCTGTGGCTGCGCTGGGACCCAGAGCCGAGTGTCGGGTGCAGGGTGCGAAGCGGCGGCCAGCCCACGCCTGACCTGGGGCTCGCTCACCTGGAAGGGCGCCTTCCCCGTCAGGCACTGGTACACGATGGTGCCGATGCTCCACAGGTCTGCCTTCCCGTCGTAATGCTGCGACATGATGACCTCGGGGGCCTGCGGGGAACCCAGCGAACAAGTCAGCCCTGTGGCTGGAAGGGACAGTCGGGCGGCAAGTGAGCTCGGGCGCCAACACCAGCCAAGCGGAACAGACCAGAGCCCCCCGCCGCCCGACTGCCACGGGTGTGGTCGAGAACAGTGCGGCCTCGCCGGCTGCAGCCGACATGCGGCGGGGAGCCCACGACTCGCGCCTCCCACGGGCACGCGGCTGGGGCGCCACCTACCATGTACATGGGCGAGCCGCAGAGCGTGGCCGCCATCATGTTGCTCTGCAGGTACCGAGCGAAGCCGAAGTCGGCTGCGGGAGAGGGGGCGCGTGAGGGGGGCGGCCCTGCCCCCGGGCCTCCCCGCACGCCTTCCCCCGCCGGCCCCGGCCTTACCGATCTTGACGCGGATGCTGTTGGGGTTGGCGCGGCGCCCCCCGGGGTTGGACAGCAGGATGTTCTGGGGCTTCAGGTCACGGTGGATGATGCCCTTGCTGTGCAGCAAGTGCATGGCGCCCGCGATCTGCTGCAGGAAGAGCCGGATGGTGTCCTCGCTCAGCGTCCGCATGGCTGCAGGGACAGGCGACTGGGGTGAGGGGCCACAAGCCCTTCGGGGACTCCCTACTCCACCGCTGCCGCACCGCGCCCCCGGCCCCGCCCCTCGCTCACACCACGGCGCACGCCCGGCCCGCCGCGAGCCCTTCTGCTGCGGCTGCCCGGCTCCGGGGGTCCTCGTGGCCCTGAGCCGCCCGCCGCCACGCACCGCTGCCCTGTCACACCCCCTTCTCTCGGGTCCCGTTACTTCTCCGGAGCCGCCCCCACCCCCACTGCAGGTGAGCCCCAGGGCCCGCCCTCCTGAGCAGAGGGATGCACAGACGGATGCGGAGGCAGCGACCAGGAGAGTGCCTGCCCCCCACCGTGGCAGGGTCCTGGGGAGGCCCACCCCTCCGTGGTCAGCCAGGCCTTGCTGGGGGCCCAGGGTGCTCAGGACAGCCCAGCACCCTGCCGGGCAGCCGGGCAGGTGCTTCGGGCCCCCTGCAGGACCAGGCGGCCATCAGAAGGCACCGCATCCCCACAAAGCACCTAGGGCCCTGCTCCCAAGGGGCCTTCCAGACCCATCTGTCCTGAGAGGCTGTTCCACCTTCCACAGCAAGTGCTGGGGGTACGGGAAGACCCTCCACCTCCGTCAGGCTGCCTTGCAGGCTGGGTCAGGGTGAGACTGGGCATGCAGCCCCCTGGCCAAGGGGTGTCCACTCACTGTGCAGGTAGTCAGCTAGGTCCCCACCGTTACAGTACTGGAAAAGACCATTGGCACAACCTGGTCAGTGGCCCTTCCTGGACCGCCCACCACCCCACACCTGCTCCCTTGCCCCCAGCCTCCTTCCTGGGGCAGGTGTCCCCTGCAATCCGTAGTTGAAGAGGTCAGTGGGGGGCTTGATCACCTCAGGCACCTGCCACGGCCACGAGGGTTCCCGATGGGGTGGCCCTACGCCCACGGACATGCACCCAACCTCTAACCCCCAGGTGACAAGGAACTGGGAGCCAGGAGTGTCTGGCCTCCCTGTCCTCCCAGCCGGGGCTGCAGGAACTCACCTCCATGACCAGATAAACAGAATTGGCCATCTCCTGCAGGACACAGAAACAGCAATGAGACGTGGAGAGAAGCACCCCCCGCCCCCAGCAGTGCTCCAGGAAGCCTCTCTCGGCCTCAGTGTGACCCACGGACTCGGCACCCACGCCCTCGACACGCCCCCTGGGCTGCGAGCGAGGCCAGGGAGCATGGGCAGCGGCCGGCTGGCTGGGCCCAGGGCCTGCTGTACCAGCGCTTGGCCCCTTGGGGAGTGGCCAGAAGACGAGGACCTGGGCTGTGATTTGTTTTTGAGGTCCTCTGCACTGGGCTTGACTGACAAGAGCGGCAGCCGATCAGAGCACTCTTATTTGCCAAGTCTGGGGAAGAGGCTGAGGTCCCGGGAGGGGTGTCTGGGGTGGACATGGACACTGCCTCCAAGGTCCCAGTCAAAATCAGGGTCAGCCCAGCCCTGAAGTTTCAACAGGGCTCAGCTTCACGTTCTACCCACCCAGTGGGGGACCCAGGTCCCCAGGAAGGACACAGTCGAAGTATGAAACCCTTGACCCACCAATCTCAGAACCACCCCCGACGCCAGGATCAAGGATGCCAACAGGATTACAGCGGGCAGCGCCAGCCAGGCCATGGGGGGGAACACCCCATGTTTAAATGTCAGCACCCCCCCCAGAGCTCCACCAGCAGAGGGTGTGAGTCCAGGACAAAGACAACCTGGGCAGCAGGAATGGCGGGGCGCACTCTCAGGGCCGGGGCAGGCAGACCTGCTCCAGCACGCCCCCACCCTGCGTTCCAGGCCTGTCACTGGGAGGGGGCGGGCTCGCCCCACTGGTCCCTCCAGGCCAGCTGCAGGGCAGAGATAACACAGGAGCAACTCCAGGAGAGTCCCAGGTCACAGGCCTGGGCCAGAGGGGCGGGACGCAGAGAGCGCACCGCGGAGGGAGGGAGGGGCTGCCGGAGGGGAGTGGGACGCTGGCAGGCAGAGGACCCAGGAGAGGGCAGAGGGCGGGCGGGAGGTGAGGACCTAGGAGGGGCAGCACTCGGCCCTCTGTGCTGGGCGCGCCCCACAATTACTCCTCACCAATCAGCTCCGGGGAGCACTATGAGCATTCTGGTCCCAAGTGGCCCAGAGAAGCTAAGTCCCTTGCCCTGGGCCACACAGCAGAGGGGCAGAGCTGGGAGTCAGGGCCAGGAACGTCCAGAAGAGCCCCAAACTCACCCCGCTGAGCCAGGACAGGCAGGGACAAAGTGACAGACAATATAGAGACAGAGTGTCCCCAGGGAGTGACCCACCAGGACTGGCAGAGATGCCAGGGCTGCGTGGGAGCAGTGAGAGCAGACCCCTGGCCTGCCTCTCTCTCCCGCAAATGTGGGAGTGCCCTAGACCCCACAACCGCCTCCCCTGAAAAGAAGGCCCCCACAGCAGAAGTGACGAGAGCCCCCTTTGTACTCAAGAGCCCGCAGGACCCCCAACAGGGCCTAGGCCCTGCTCCCACCCCTGCCCCCACACTTGAGCCACAGCAGGCTTCCAAAGGGGATGGTGGATACCCTCCCTCCAAAGACCCCACCCCACAGGCCCTAGAGGCCCCTGGCTCCTACCCGCCCCTGCGCATCCCCCAGCCCCACTGGCCCACTGTTCCTAGTGCTCCCCAGGGCCTCCCTCCTCCCCACAGGCCTCCCCAAAGGCCTCCTGTCCTGAGAACACCCTGAAGCCTCCCTGAGGCTTGTGGATCCTCAGTGGACAGTCCGTTAGCAGTGGGCCAGAGGGCCACCGGGGCTATGGGGACCTAGCCTCCTCCTCCCCACTCTGATCTGTCCCTCCGCCTGTGGCCTAGGATCAGCCTCACCTCCAGCAGGCCCTCCCAGGCGTGGAACACAAGAGGGCCAGCAGGGAAAGAACACAACAGGGCTGGGGCCAAGGGTGGGGAGCCAAGCCAACCTCGCATGGGGCATTCAGGCTTGGGGTGACCCAGGGAAGCCAGACTGGGGTCTCCCATGACCCCAAGCCAGAGGACAGCTTCAGACCAGCCCCTTCCTGCTGGCCTCTCTCGCCCCACCTGTGACACCCTAACTCCACTGGCGGGCACAGCCCGGGCCAGTTCCCAGGCGAGGTCAGGAAGCACGCCCAGGCCTGGGAAGGAGAAGCCAGCTCGAGTGTGTCCTCAGCCTGCCCCTGTGGCAACAGCAAGCCAGGTCCTAAGAGAGCCCGGCAGCACGGCTGCCAGCCCTGACAGGGACCAGGAGAAGGCCCGGGCAGCATGTCTCCCTGCCCCTGGGTGGGGCACCTTTCCAGACAGGCTCCATGCCCAGGCCCCTCCCAGGGCCTGCTGCCCCATCCACCTGGGGCCACGCTGTCCATCACTGCTGGGTAGCCCCCATCCCTCCCAGGGAAGCCAGCTCTCCGGGCCCCCCCCCAGCACTCCCTCGGTGGCCACGGCTGACCTGCCCCTGCCCAGCTCACTGCCCACCCACAACCCCACTGGGCCTCCAGTCCCACTCCTGCTGGCCTCCACACAGCTACACTTGGTTTGCACTGGCTCCCTTGGGAGTGAGCGGAGACCACATAGGCTCCAGGCACCGAGCCCCCTCCCTGGGGTCGGTCTAGATTCAGTCTACACACTTGAAATGACCAGGATCGCTTCCCTCCTGGAGGAGGCAGATGGGAACTGGCGGCCTACTCTCACCCTCAGGTGGCAGGTTCTCAGAAGCTCATTATAATGTTAAGATGGAAACGTGAACGTGGCCAAAGCAAGGGCCCTCCAGACCCCGTGACCTAGGAGGAGCGCACCAGGGCCGTCCTCACAGCCCCACGGCCAGCTACCCCCACGCCGCAGTGCCCTGCTGCCCTAGGGACATGGCGGGTCCCGTCCGTGTCACAGCCCACCCCAGGGGAGGAAACAGGACACGGTCACACGGGGGCACGGGAGGTTGGGCAAGGGAGGGGCAGAGCGGGGCGGGAACCCTCAGTCCAGACCACCCCACCGTGCAGCCCCCAAGAAAGGGGGTGATGAATCCCAGCCTGAGCACCTGACGTGCACAACAAGGCAAAGCCTTACAAGGACATAAAATGGAGCCCTCTTCATCCCCTGGCAGGGTGCCCACAGGCCCTGGGGACAGGGCTGGCCCGAGCGTCACGGCTAGGTGTGCTGGGCAGCCTGGTACGAGCATCCAGGCACGTAGGAGGCCGCCCCGCCATGGGGCGCTAAGGTGCTTTGCCTAATAGGATCCTGGTAGGCAGGCGGGCCCTGACCTAGTTAACCCCTCGGACGTGGGCCCTCTTGGCTCGGGAAGGTGGCAAAAGCTCCAGTGGGGGCCATAACACAGCCGCCCAGAGGAGCAGGGCCGCTCCCCGCCCCAGGCGGGGCTCTTCCAGCCAGCTCCCAGAGGGAAGGGTGCCCAGCCCCACCCTCCTTCCTCGGGCAGCCTCCTGCAGCTGCCGGCAGGCTGGCCCGCCCTCTGCGGCACCCTCCTGCCCGCACACTCGGCCGGCCCGACTCGGGACACAAGGGGAGACTCTCAGGGCAGGGGAGGCGTGAGCCGGTACGATCCCTCGGAAAACAGAAACCACGTGCTCCTCCCAGAGACACACCAAGCCCCGGTCGCCACACACCGGTCACACGGCAGACGTGACCCACACAGATGCCCACAGCAGCTCCGTTCTAGGGCACTGACCAAGACGGCTGACGACGGGACACCACACGGCCACAGAGCCCCCACACCCCCAAGGCCGTGGCGAGAGCACACAGACAGGCAGCAAGCTGGGGGGGTCCAGGGCTCGGAGGCGGGTGGACCGGGAGAGAGACGTGCCCACAAAAGGCAGCACAACGGACCCCACCCGCACGGAGAAACTCAGGGGCTGAGCTCCTGGGGCCAGCCACGTTGGAGTTCTTTCCTCATCTAAGTGCTTAACGAAGCATTTCATGATCTGCGTCTCCCACCGCCCAGTGTACGTTATACTTCAAAATTCTAAGTCAGGGCGCCTGGGTGGCTCAGTTGGTTAAGCGACTGCCTTCGGCTCAGGTCATGATCCTGGAGTCCCGGGATCGAGTCCCGCATCGGGCTCCCTGCTCAGCAGGGAGCCTGCTTCTCCCTCTGACCCTCTTCCTTCTCGTGCTCTCTGTCTCTCATTCTCTCTCTCAAATAAATAAATAAAATCTTTAAAAAAAAAAAAATTCTAAGTCAAAAAAATTTTTAAGTTAAAAAAGATAGATGAGGGGCGCCTGGGTGGCTCAGTTGGTTAAGTGACTGCCTTCGGCTCCGGTCATGATCCTGGAGTCCCAGGATCGAGTCCCGCATCGGGCTCCCTGCTCGGCAGGGAGTCTGCTTCTCCCTCTGACCCTCCGCCCTCTCATGCTCTCTGTCTCTCATTCTGTCTCAAATAAATAAATAAAATCTTTAAAAAAAAAAAAAAGATAGATGAAACAACAGTAACGCAACTTTGCGGGCATTTCCAGAACTGCCTGGACCGTCAGGCCTACTCATCGGCCCCCAGCTTGGAACCTGGTACCGAGGGGCTGCGACCCAGTCCGCATCCTGCCCACCTTCCCCCCAGGCCCAAGGCCCCTCTCAGCAAGGAAAGGCAAGGCGGAGGACTGGCACTGCCCAGAAAGGCCCTTGAGTAAGTCAGCAGGAGGTAGGCTGGCTCTGTCTGCGGCCGGGCCAGCTGCGAGTGAGTCACGTCCAGCTGTGGGAACAGCCGGCCTTGGGAGGGGGAGGGTCACTGTCGGCGAGGACTGTGAGCATCAGCCCCTCTCCTGGGCCGTGCCGGGCACAGTCCTAATCCTGATTCCTGCCCTGGGCAAGGGCCACCCTCCCTGGGCAAGGGCATGTCCAGATACCATCTACCACAGAGAAGGCCACAAGCTCCAGCCACCTCTCCACGGGTCGGGGTGGGGGGCCCTCCTCAGGGCAGAGTACAACCCACCCCCAGCATCCACATCACCTGATAAACATCCCTATTCCGTAGGGTCACACAACTACAATAGAAAAGTAAACAATCTCAGAGGAACTATTTGCAGGCCATCACAAAAGAGCTTTCCTTAATATGTAAAGAGCTCCTACAAATCAATAAATAGTATTTACACAGCATATATTATACAGCAGACGCAGTTCTCAGCATAACCACCCTATCACACAGGTGTACCGTCACTGTCTCCCACTTTACAGGTGACACTGAGGAGCTTGCCCAAGGTCAGTCACTCGAGTAAGTGAATGGAGCACCTGGTCTAAGAGAAAGACAGTATGGTTCAGGACCCATTCCACTCACCATGGCGCCATCCAGCCTCAGTAAAAAAAGACCAACAGGAATCATGCCAAAGGCAGGGGGCATTCCTAATACTCACACACTGAGACGCTGAGCCTCACTCACAGTAAGTGAAAAACACTGAGATGTCATTTTCCCCCAAGATCAAAGTCTGATAACCGACCTCCTGGAAAGGATGTGGGGAGACTGGCCCTTCCGTACGCAGCCCTGCTGCAAGTCCAATCCAGCCTTTGGGGACCACAATTTGGCAACTGTCCCAAACTAGAAGCACACGTCCCTCTTACCCGGGGATTCCTAGGAGTCTACACACCTGGCCAAAACTGAGTGCCAGGACAGTCACTACCATACTGCTGCCATGTCACAACCCCAGAAAAACCCACGTCCCGTCAGTGCGGGACTGGCGAGGTCAGCTATGGAATGTGGGGCAATGGAACCCAATACAACCGCAAACAACGCCCATCGCCACGTTGTAACAACAGCTAACAAGCACACAGGGCTCACCGTGGCTGTTTCTAGTCAACAATTGCAGGGTCTCTACCACAGAAAGAGACGGAAACACAGACACCTTAAGACACCCATCCGGGGACACACAGCTGGTTTAGGGTTAGAGGAGTTTAGAGCCAGGATTGGAACTAGGTCATCTAGCTTCAGAGTCTGGGCTCTGAAGCACTCTGCTCAGGGTTGGGAACCTTGCCGGGAGAGGGGTGGGATGTCTCCCACATAGAGGGAGACAGAGATCCCTCCCCAAAATACAGGCTCAAGTGAAAAAGGCACTGACTGCGCAGAAGTGGATGGTGTGATGGCAAAGCCATTCGTAAGAACGTGTTCCTGCCCCTGGAGAGATCCAGAAACCACCAATGTCAGCGTGGGGGCCAGCAGGGGGAGAGAGGGGTTACCTTTTCCCAGGTCCCCTCTTATAATCATTTTTTTAGCCCAATTATGTATTACCTAGTTTAAGATTTTATTTAGTTGACAGAGAGAGAGAGACACATGAGAGAGGGAACACAAGCAGGGGGAGTGGGAGAGGGAGAAGCAGGCTTCCCGCTGAGCAGGGAGCCTCATGCGGGGCTCGATCCCAGGACCCTGGAATCATGACCTGAGCCGAAGGCAGACGCTTAACGACTGAGCCACCCAGGCGCCCCGACTCTTCCTAATTTATTTTTATTTTTATTTTTTTAAAAGATTTTATTTATTTGACAGAGAGAGACACAGCGAGACAGGGAACACAAGCAGGGGGAGTGGGAGAGGGAGAAGCAGGCTTCCCGCTGAGCAGGGAGCCCAGTGGAGAGCTCGATCCCAGGACCCTGAGATCATGACCTGAGCCGAAGGCAGACGCTTAACGACTGAGCTACCCAGGCGCCCCAACTCTTCCTAATTTATTTTTATTTTTATTTTTTTTAAGATTTTATTTATTTGACAGAGACACAGCGAGAAAGAGAACACAAGCAGGGGGAGTGGGAGAGGGAGAAGCAGGCTTCCCGCTGAGCAGGGCGCCCCGACTCTTCCTAATTTATTTTTATTATTTTTTTAAAAGATTTTATGTATTTGACAGAGACAGACACAGTGAGAGAGGGAACACAAGCAGGGGGAGTGGGAGAGGGAGAAGCAGGCTTCCCGCTGAGCAGGGAGCCCAACGCGGGGCTCTATCCCAGGACCCCGGGATCATGACCCGAGCTGAAGGCAGACACCCAACGACTGAGCCACCCAGGCACCCCCTGTATTACCTAGCCTTAAAAGCCATTTTTCCAGGGTCCTGTGTGTCTCAGAGGAGTCTAAGGACTCGGGGGCCACTGCACACCCCAGGGGGTGAGGGCGCAGAGCCCCAGCGGAGGCCGGGGCCTCAGAGGGGAGAGGCCACGGCCTCCACGCACTTCCTCCGAACAGGGGAAGCCGAATCGCTGCCGACACTACAGGAAGAAGCACTGCTCACGGCCAGGTGTGCGGCCCAGCCAGGATGGGGCAGGAGGGAGAGCTGGGTTCCCAGGGGGGAGGACAGGGCAAGGGGGGGCAGGCACTCTCCTGGCCCCGGGACACCGCGTCTCGGTAGCCCAGTGCCCAGCTTCCAGGTACTCGCCGGCACACTGGACCCGTGCCCTCCCATGTCACCTCACGTCCCCCGAGGCCACGGCCTGGCTCTCAAGGGGGAGGGAGGAGGCCACTCAAACACAGACAGCTGGGTTGGGAACTTCCCCTCAGCCAGGGGCTGGTCCCGTGGCCTCAGTAAACAGGTTTCAAAACCATTAGTCAGCACTCTGGCCTGCAGATCCGCCTCAGGTTCCCAGTCCCCAAACTGGCTCTCCAGGGTCCCGGACCCTCACCGAAGCCAGGCTCCACCTGTGGCCCCGGGGGCGCTAAGGGGACCCGGCGGGGGCCTCCCGAGCCGGCTGGGCCTGAGGTGGACCGCCTCCCCGTGCCGACGGAGGCAGCCGGGGCCACACGGCCCCGACTGCCAGCTAGAAGGAAATCTCCGCGGGGCCCCTCCCCTCCCCCAGCCTGACGCAGGGAGGGACTGGCCAATGCCAGGCCGTTGGAGCAATGTCAACAAACAAGCCTCCGGCCCAGACAGGTGGGCCAGGCCGGCAGCACCGTCCTGCCCTGGGCCTGCACGGGGGACAGGACCCACGGTCGGGGCCACTGGGTCAGACAGCCCCGAGGCCCCCGCCGCAGCTAGCTAGACCTCCGTCAGTCCAGGAACGCGACGCGACCCACGGTGCCCTGCTGGGGCCGGCGGGACTCTCCCCACATATCCAGAGGAAGCCGGCGAGAGAGAAGTCTCCAGGGTCCTGCTCAGGCCTCGCAGTTGGGCAGGCCAGACAGCGATCTATACCCAGGGGTGCCCAGTCCTCCTCCCAACACGAGATCCTGGCCTAGAACCTTCCCCTACCGACCAGGGTCTCAGCACCTGGCTGGCCCGGGACCCAAGCTCGTGGGGCCTGAGGCTGTGCACTGGCCAGCCTGGGAGAGTAACGCACCCCCTCCCCACCGCCAATGCAGCCCCGGGCCTTACCTGAAAGTCATACAAAGCCACGATGTTTTCATGTTTCAATTCCTAGGACAGAAACCCAAGTTTCTTAGGATCAAGGCTAGCTCACCCACCACCCCCTCCCCCTACCACTTCCAAAGCCCGCTCACCTTGAGGATCTTGATTTCCTTCCCCAGCAGGGTCTGGGACTTGGCGAGGTTTTTCTTGTTAATGCACTTGACTGCGACCTCCAGGTCGTGCTTCTGAAAACCAAGCAGGGATGCTCCTCAGGGGCCTGGAACCCAGGAATCCGTACAGGGCCACCCCAGGCCAGGTAAGCGCCTGGGGAGGGATTCCGGTGCCAGTGGCAGGGCCCCAGGTGGGGGGTGGAAGAGACGGGGTGTCCGCGGATGTGAGGGTGAGGGACCCCGGGGTGTGGGGATGGGGAGGAAGGGCCCGTGGGGGGGTGGGCATGAAAACCCCCGGGGTGTGTGGTGGGGACGGGGGGCCCGGGTGCGGGGAGGGGATGGGGGATGGGGGTCCCGGGTGTGGGGCGGGGATGGGGGATGGGGGTCCCGGGTGTGGGGCGGGGACAGAGGGGTCCCCGGGTGTGGGGCGGGGGTGGGGGACGGGGTCCCCGGGTGTGGGGCGGGGATGGGGGACGGGGTCCCCGGGTGTGGGGCGGGGATGGGGGACGGGGGTCCCGGGTGTGGGGCGGGGATGGGGGACGGGGGTCCCGGGGGTGAGGCGGGGATGGGGGACGGGGGTCCCGGGTGTGGGGCGGGGACAGAGGGGTCCCCGGGTGTGGGGCGGGGATGGGGGACGGGGTCCCCGGGTGTGGGGCGGGGATGGGGGACGGGGGTCCCGGGTGTGGGGCGGGGATGGGGGACGGGGGTCCCGGGTGTGGGGCGGGGACGGGGGACGGGGGTCCCGGGTGTGGGGCGGGGACGGGGGATGGGGGTCCCGGGTGTGGGGCGGGGACAGAGGGGTCCCCGGGTGTGGGGCGGGGATGGGGGACGGGGTCCCCGGGTGTGGGGCGGGGATGGGGGACGGGGGTCCCGGGGGTGGGGCGGGGATGGGGGACGGGGGTCCCGGGGGTGGGGCGGGGATGGGGGACGGGGGTCCCGGGGGTGAGGCGGGGATGGGGGACGGGGGTCCCGGGTGTGGGGCGGGGACAGAGGGGTCCCCGGGTGTGGGGCGGGGATGGGGGACGGGGTCCCCGGGTGTGGGGCGGGGATGGGGGACGGGGGTCCCGGGTGTGGGGCGGGGACGGGGGATGGGGGTCCCGGGTGTGGGGCGGGGACAGAGGGGTCCCCGGGTGTGGGGCGGGGATGGGGGACGGGGTCCCCGGGTGTGGGGCGGGGATGGGGGACGGGGGTCCCGGGGGTGGGGCGGGGATGGGGGACGGGGGTCCCGGGGGTGGGGCGGGGATGGGGGACGGGGGCGCCCCGGGCGTGCGGCGGGGCGGAGGGGCGCCCCCGCGCTGGGGCTCGGTCCGGGCCCGCCGGCGCCCCTCACCTCCCGGTGGCGCCCCTTGAAGACCACGGCGAAGGCGCCGTGCCCGATCAGGTCCTTGCGCGAGAACTCGAACTTGCCCACGGCCTCCAGGCCGCCGCGGCCGGGCTCCATGGCGCGGGCGGGCGGCTCAGGCGGCGGCTCGGGCCGGGGGCGGCGGGCGGGGGGCGCGCCCCATCGGGCAGGCCGGGCCCGCCTCCAGCCCCGCGGGCCGCTCGGGGCGCCCTGGCAGCCCGGGCTGCTGATCCGGATCCCTCCGCGGCTGCGACTGCGGCTGGGGTTCAGACTCCGGCCCGGACTCCGACTGGGAAACAAAAGAGCCGCGGCCGCCGGGCCCCAGAGCCAGAGACGCCGGCGCAGGCGCAGTGAGCGCCGGGGGGGCGGGGCTGGGGGCGGGGCCTGGCGGGGCGGCCGCGCTCTGGGGGCGGCGGGGCGGGGCCTGCGGGGGCGGGGCCATGGCGGGTGGGGCGGGGCCAGCACTCGACTCGCCCCCGGGGTAGGCCGGGGTGGGGGGTGCGGGGAGGGGAGGGGAGGGAAGAGGGGGGAAGGGGAGGACCCCCCCCCGCGACCGTGCCCCCGTCCCCTGTCCGCTGCCTCGTCTCTACACAGGCGCATTAATACTCGGACGTGGCCTGTGTACCCCAGGGCTAAGGACCGCAAAGAATAAATCGGGCTGCTTTAGAGCTGTTGCATTTTATTTATTTTTTATTATTATTATTATTATTATTATTATTATTATTATTATTATTATTATTATTATTATTTTAGTAGGCTCCACACCCCAGGGCGGAGCCCAACTGCGGGGCTTGATCTCACGACCCTGAGATCACCACCTGAGCGGAAATCCAGAGTCGGAGGCTTAACCGACTGAGCCCCCCAGGCACCTGAGGTGATGCATTTTAAACTGTGTTCAACGGTAACAAATTGTCTGCCACACTGAACCAAAACATGGGAAATCAGAGGGAAAGTTTCCATAAGTCCTTCCACTGGGATGATACACAGCAGATTCTTAGACACAGTGTTAAATAGACATGTGCTCAGGTGCAAAGGGCAGAATCAAGAGGCAAAACAGTGAAGTTTAGAATCAAGAGGCAAAACAGTGAACTGGGCTCCTACTTGTCATTTTAGAAAGTCACGGGACGGGATGTGTACATGGCCATAGACGAGTAGGTACACGTGTATGATACACGTATGTATACATCATACACGATGGAACGGCTAACCCAGCCTTGCTGTATGCCAGTGTGTCCATATAGTAACTCATCCATTCCCCCAATGACTCCATGAGATACTTGCTATTTTATGGCCATTTGACAGATGAGAGAACTGAGGCCCAGAGAAATGTACCTGAAGTCACCGGGGGCAAGCAAGGCAGAGCCAGATTCTCACGCAAGAGACTGTTAACAGTGGCTGCTTGGGGAAGAGTCGGTGCTTTTCACTGTCTCCCTTGAGTACTGGCGTGAATTATTCTTATCATGCTCGAGTCCTGCTTCTGTAAATGCAGAGTATGAACAATCCTCCTCTCGGCCGCCAGCCTGCCGTAATAGCCCAGGATGGTTGCACCAGCCTGCCCACGGGTCCAACGGGCAGGCTCTGGGGTCAGGGCCCTCCCTGCTGCCTTCACAGAGCCGCCTGGCGGCTAATCTTCCTGCTGCTCTGGGAGGAACCCCACCCAGGATCTTCCGGAAGCCCCTTCACCTGCCCCCCCGGCCCTTCTCCAAGCCCCAGCACGTGCGTGCAGGCTCCTGACCCTGGACTGAGGCCAGAGGCCACCAGAGCTGGAAGGGACAAGGGGTCTCCTGGCCGAGCACCTTGCTTTTCAGGGGAGAGGTCCCCCAGTTTGAGGTCAGCCCACAGCACTCCTAGGGTCACTTTCCATTCCCTCAGTTGTCCAACACCAACTGTGTTCGCCCAGGTCCTTGGAGCTGACACAGCACAGAGAGTCCCTGTCTTCAGGAGTGGTTGGGGGCAGGGAGACAAGAGGGGCAGTGACTGCACAAAAGCTCATGAAGTTGCACCTGAGGGAAGTGTGAAGAGCAGGCCGGGTGGGGGGGGACAAGGGGGTGCAAGGTTGCTGGATGCAGCTGGTGCCTGGGGGCAGGAGTCCAGCCCACCCTGGGAAGGAGATCTTCAACTTCAACTCAAGGAAGGACGGGGAAGTTAGGAGGGGGTGGGTAGAGGTGAGATTTGCATTTGGAAGAGGTTACTGGGCCCCCAGGGGAGGAGAGCCCCCCCCAACCCCGCCAGGGAGGCTGAGAGCGCCCAGTTCCCGCCCTGTGGGCCCTGTGGGTCACCGCCAGGCTCCTGCCCTCCTCTGTCATGGTCAACGCTTATATCCTCCTTATTCACATCTGCAAATCTGTGTACTCACTAAATTGTTCTATAACCTCCCAGTCAGTCCTCAGGGTGTTTCCCTGGGCGCACAGTCCCAGCTGAGGCGGGAGGGCCACCTGACCCTCTGCCCTGTTGCAGCTTACTACTCTTTTTTTTTTTTTTAAAGATTTTATTTATTTATCTGAGACAGAGAGAATAAGAGAGAGAGAGAGAGAACACATGAGAGGGGGGAGGGTCAGAGGGAGAAGCAGACTCCCCGCCAAGCAGGGAGCCCGATGCGGGACTCGATCCAGGGACTCCAGGATCATGACCTGAGCCGAAGACAGTCGCTTAACCAACTGAGCCACCCAGGCGCCCTCTGTTTTTTTTTTTTTTTAAGATTTATTTATTTATTTGAGAGATCAAGAATGAGAGAGAGTACATGAGAGGGGGGAGGGTCAGAGGGAGAAGCAGGCTCCTCGCCGAGCAGGGAGCCTGATGCGGGACTCGATCCCGGGACTCCAGGATCATGACCTGAGCCGAAGGCAGTCGCTTAACCAACTGAGCCACCCAGGCGCCCCGCAGCTTACTACTCTAAGTGACCTTCTGGGTCACTTTAGTGCCACACGGTTTGCACTTTTGTGCTTTTTGGTTGTGATTTCGCTGTTGAAAACGGCCGCCTGAGGGTCGTGGTGAAGAGCTGTCCCGCGTTCCTGAGCGCAAGGAGGCAGCGAGCAACATGCCTCCGGGAGAAAATGCATCAGAGGGGCTCCGCCCCTGTAAGTTGGATGTGGTTGAATCAACAGCATGTGTTAAATAAGTTGTCTTTAAGCAGAAACACACATAAAACAGATTACGTACTGAACGGTTGACAAAGACGTTGTGAGCAGAGGCGGCAGAAACGGAGCCCTGCATCTCCCCTGGAGTGCGGTGTCCCGCTAACTCCCTGTTCCTCATTCACGGGGGTGAACGGGGTACAAATACTGTGACCGAGAACTGGCTGGGCTGTGTGTCGGCTGCGCTCTTTAGAGTGGCGGCTCTCGGGTTTAAGCCTGGTTCCCCTGAACCCACGTGCTCCTCGTCCTCCCGGGTGCCCCAAGGCAAGGACTGAGTGCTGTCCATCTCCGACCCCCGGTGTTCAGCCCAAGGCCCGGCAAATAGTAAGGAAACTTTGAAAGAAGGTTGAATGAACTTTAAGACCCACCTCACTCAACCTGCAAAACCCCACCACCTGCTGTGGAGACGCTACCCACCCACACAAGGCTCCAAGGCCACTGCCCCCTTCTACATCAGGAATGGCCAACTGGTGTCATTTCAAAGGGCCTGGCCCAGCTCCCCAGAGCCTTAAGGCGAGAGCTGGGCCGGGGGGGGGGGGGGTCTGTGATCACTTAGTAATGTCTGTCACGCGTGCTGGGAATGTGGGGTGGTTTGCATGCCTTCAAACAGACGGAAGTCCACATTTTTTTAACTTGTTCATTTTTTTTAAGATTTTTATTTATTTATTCATTTGAGAGAGAAAGAGCATGAGCGGGGGGGAGGGGCAGACAGGGAGAAGCGGACTCCCCTCTCGCTGAGCAGGGATCCCGATGACAACACGGGACTTGATCCCAGGACCCTAGGGATCATGAATTGAGCCACCCGGGTGCCCGGAAGGCCACATTCTTGTGTCACCGTGACTTCAAAGGTGTCAAACTTCCAAAAAGTTAAAAACCTTCTTACAAATACGGAAGAAGCAGGGGTTGTAAGTTTATTTAATTCATTAACGAGGGAACCAGGAGGATAGTAGAGATGGTTGCTGAGTGGCCCGCCCCCCCCCCCCCGCCCCCGGCCGGCTCCACTGGGTGTGGAGTCTACTTAAAATAAAAACAAAAAAAATACGAACATGGGGCGCCTGGGTGGCTCAGTTGGTTAAGCGACTGCCTTCGGCTCAGGTCATGATCCTGGAGTCCCGGGATCGAGCCCCGCATCAGGCTCCCTGCTCGGCGGGGAGCCTGCTTCTCCCTCTGACCCTCCCCCCTCTCATGTACTCTCTCTCTCTCATTCTCGCTCTCTCAAATAAATAAATAAATCTTAAAAAAAAAAAAAAAGTGCGCACTGTGCGGGCGCCTGGGTGGCTCAGTTGGTTAAGCAACTGCCTTCGGCTCAGGTCATGATCCTGGAGTCCCAGGATCGAGTCCCACGTCGGGCTCCCCGCTCAGCGGGGGGTCTGCTTCCCCTTCTGCCCTCTTCCCTCTCGTGCTCTCTGTATCTCATTCTCTCTCTCTCTCAAATAAATAAATAAAATCTTTAAAAAAAAATACGAACAAAAAAGATGGTTGCTGGGGGAATTTGAGGAGTTGGTTATTTGCAGAGATTTGAAGACTGCTAGAGTAGATTGTTGGCCAGATACAAAACTGTTTCTTGTTCTCCAGGGCAAACATTTAACCTGCGATTATCTTTCCCCCTGTGGAGGAATCATTTGTCCTCTGCTTGACAGAACCCTACAAGTTTACATGAAGATAATATCACAGACCCAGAGCCTTCAGTCAATGGTCAACAGAAACGCAGACACGGGGCACCTGGGTGGCTCGGTAGGTTAAGCGTCTGCCTTCGGCTTCGGTCATGATCCCAGGGTCCTGGGATCGAGCCCCGCATCGGGCTCCCTGCTTAGCGGGAAGCCTGCTTCTCCCTCTCCCTCTGCTACTCCCCCTGCTTGTGCTCTCTCTCTGTCAAATAAATAAAAAAAATCTTAAAAAAAAAAAAAAGAAAGACACGCAGATGCACCTGCAGAACCCCTCCATCGAGGATCGGCAAACTCACATCTAAGGCCAAATCCAGCCCTTCTCTTGATTTTTTTCTTTTCCTTTTTTTTTTATTGTGGTAAAATAAACATAACTTGAAAATTGGCATCTTAACCATTTCAAGTGTACAGTTCAGGGTTATCAAGCACGTTCACACCGTTGTCAGCCGCCGCCAGCGTCCACCTCCAGAACGTTCTCGTTTTCCCAAACTGACGCTCTGTCCCACCAAACACGGACC